CCAGCCGCGCCGAATGAATCGTGTCGAGCGCGCGCTGCTGCGCCAGCCCGTCGAAATAGTCGTGCGCCGGCAATTGGTGGGCGAGATGTTCGAGCCGGCCGATGCGGAAGCTCCTGGTCACGTCGAAATAGCCCTTCGCCGCCTCGCCGATCGGCCGGCCGGTGGCAGCGGCAGCGGCCATGATGTCCGGCGTCACGGCCGCGACGGGCAGAAGCGCCAGCCTTTGCGCCGGCCCGTCGGCCATGCCGGCCTGCTTGAAACGCTCGCGGCGCTGCTGCGCCCAGTTGGCCAGATAGTCCGGCACGATCCTTGGCAGGTCCGGCTCGAGCGCGGCGCGCGCCTCGCTCAGCGCGGCGACCGCAGCGCCGAGATCGCCGGTCATGTCGCCTGATTTCAGATACTGGCCGATCGCGCCGCGCAGCGCCTCGGCCAGTTCGTCGTAGATCGCCATCTGCGCATCGCCCGGCACCTGGTTGTCGAGCCCGTCGATCGCCGCGTGCAGCGCCTCGATGTCATAGGCGTCGCGGCAAATGACGTGGGCGCGCGCGATGCCGGACGGCAGCATGCCGGTCGCGTCCTCGAACCGGCTGATCACCGAGGGGCCGCCGCGATTGACGATCTGGTTGGCCAGGACGGTGGCGATTATCTCGCGGCGCAGCCGGTGGTTCCTGATCCGGTCGCCGAAATCGCCATGCATGCGCGGCGGGAAATAGCCGAACAGATCTGCTTCGAGATAAGGTTCGTCCGGCAGTGCCGACCGCACCAGATCGTCGAACAGGACGATCTTGGCATAGGACAGAAGAACGCCGATCTCCGCCCGCGCCAGACCCTGGCCGGCCTGCCGGCGCTCGGCGAGCGCCTCTTCGTCGGGCAGAAGTTCGACCGCGCGGTCCAGAAGCCCGCGCTCTTCCAGCGACGTCATCAGCCTTTCTTGAAGCGCCAGATTGGCGTCCTTCCTGCGCTCGGCACGGCTTATGGTCAGCGTCTGCTCGTAATTGTTGCGCAGCACCAGATCGGCCACGCTGTCGGTCATCGAGGCCAGCAGTTTGTCGCGCCGTTTGCGCTCGAGACTGCCGTCGGCCAGCGCCCCGGCAAAGGCGATCTTGATGTTGACCTCAAGGTCCGAGGAATTGACCCCGGCCGAATTGTCGATCGCATCGGAATTGCACCGCCCGCCGGCCAGGCCGTATTCGATCCGGGCACGCTGCGTAAGCCCCAGATTGGCGCCCTCGCCGATGACCTTGACGCGCAATTGCCTGGCCGTGATGCGGATGGCGTCATTGGCGCGGTCGCCGGCCTCGGCATTGCTTTCAGCCGATCCGCGCACATAGGTGCCGATTCCGCCGAACCACATCAATTCGGCGTCCGCAGTCAGGATCGCCGTCATGATCTCGCTTGGCGTCGCCTTGACCTTGTCGAGTCCGATGGCATCTGCGGCCGCCTTGGACAGGGTGATCTGCTTCAAGTTGCGCGGGTAGATGCCGCCGCCCCGCGACAGTTTGGCGGTGTCGTAATCCTGCCAGGACGACCGGCCCATCTCGAAAAGGCGCTTGCGCTCGGCGAAGCTGACAGCCGGGTCGGGATCGGGATCGATGAAGATGTCACGATGGTCGAACGCGGCGATAAGCCTGATCTGCTCTGACAAAAGCATGCCGTTGCCGAAAACGTCGCCGGACATGTCGCCGACGCCGACGACGGTGAACGGCTCGCTCTGGATGTCCTTGTCCATCTCGCGGAAATGGCGCTTGACCGCTTCCCACGCGCCGCGCGCGGTGATGCCCATCTTCTTGTGGTCGTAGCCGGCCGAACCGCCCGAGGCGAACGCGTCGTCCAGCCAGAAGCCGTGCGCCTGAGAAATGCCGTTGGCGGTGTCGGAGAAGGTCGCCGTGCCCTTGTCGGCGGCGACCACCAGATAGGGGTCCTCGCCGTCGCGGCGCACAGTCAGGGGCGGCGGCAGAACGGTTTCGCCATCGAGATTGTCGGTCACCGACAGAAGCGAGGAGACGAAGGTGACATAGGCGTTCTTGCCTGCCTCGAAGACCTCGTCGCGCGAACCGTCGCGCGGCAGGCGCTTGGGCAGGAAACCGCCCTTGGCGCCCACCGGCACGATCACCGCGTTCTTGACCTGCTGCGCCTTCACCAGCCCCAGCACCTCGGTCCGGTAGTCCTCCGAGCGGTCCGACCAGCGCAGGCCGCCGCGCGCGATCGGGCCGAAGCGCAGATGCACGCCCTCGACCTCCGGACCGAAGACGAAAATCTCGCGATGCGGCCGCGGTTCCGGCAGGGCGTCGATCGCCTTTGGATCGAGCTTGAAGGCAAGGGTCCGGCGCGGTCGGCCATCCGCCTCCGGATGATAGAAATTGGTTCTCAGCGTGGCGGTGATCACGTTGCAGAACCGCCGCAGGATGCGGTCCTCATCGATCGACGGCACGTCGGCCAGCGCGTCACGGAACGCCGATAGCAGGTGCTTTTCGGTCACCGCCGTGTCCTCGTCGGGGTCCGCCTGTCGCGTTGGATTGAACCGCGCATCGAACAGTTCGTAGAGCTGCCGGGTCAATTGGGCATGGCGTTCCAGCGTGGCGGCCATATAGGCATGGCTGTAGGCCGAGCCTGCCTGGCGCAGATAATGGCCGTAGGCGCGCAGCACACGGATCGTCCGCGCCCCCATGCCCGATGCGAGCATCAGGGCATTGTAGCGGTCGTCTCCGATCTCCTTGGCCCATGCCGACCGGAACCCGTCCTCGAAGAGCGCCCCTTCATCGTCCAGGTTCACCGGCGCGCCCGAGGCGCTTTCGATCCGCATGCTGTGAAGCCAGATGCACGATGGCCGGTTGCCCTCGCCCGGCGCGCAGCCGACCCGGTAGGTCAGTTCGGAGATCACCCGGAAGCCCATGTTTTCCAGAAGCGGCACCCGCTCGGACAAGGCCACGGGCTCTTCGGCATGGAAGACGCGCAACAGCGCCTGGTCGTCGGCGTCGTCCTCGTCGCGCAGAAAATCGACGGCGATCGGATTGTCGGCGCCGATCGTGTCGATGAAGCCGATGTCCGACACGGCCTGCTCGGGCGACACCGTGTCCCGATAGGCTTCCGGAAAGGCGAATCGGTCGCTGTCGATCGCCGCGCCCTTCGCCGCCAGCGCATCGCGCAGGGCGTCCTCCCAGGTGCGGATGATCGCCGCGACACCGCGTTCCAGCGAGGCTTGCGTCGGCGTCGGCGTCTTGCCGGACCGGCGGCCGATGATGATGTGCACCCGCGCCAGCGTGCCCTCGGGAAAAGCGGGATAAAAGGCCGAGACATGGCCCTCATAGACATCCGCCATATGCGCGCTGATGCGTTCGCGAATTTCGGAATCGTAGCGGTCGCGCGGCACGAACACGATGACCGAGACGAAGCGGTCGAACGCATCGATGCGGCTGAGCACGCGCACGCGCGGCCGGTCCGCCAGGGCCACGATCGCCTCGGCGTGGCGAGTCAGGACCGGCACCTCGATCTGGAACAGTTCGTCGCGCGGATAGGATTCAAGGACGTTCAGCAGCGCCTTGCCGGAATGGCTGTCGGGATCGTGATGCGAGCGTTTGAGGACCGCCTTGATCTTGGACCGGATGTAGGGAATGCGCTGCACCGAACGCGTGTAGGCCGTCGATGTGAAAAGGCCGACCAGCCGCAGTTCGCCCGACAGTCTGCCTTTCTCGTCGTAGCGCTTGATGCCGACATAATCCATGTAGGTGCGGCGGTGCACCACCGATTTCAGATTGGCCTTGGTGACGATCAGGATATCGCGGCTGTTGAGGAACGCGCGGATCTCAGGCGTCGTTGTCACCGCATCGTCGCCGCGCCGCAAAACCCGGACGTCGGGGTCGCTGAGAATGCCGAGCGAAGGCCGGTCCGCGCGCTGCAGCTTGCCGCGCTTTTCGCCGCCGACATAATCGTATTCGCGAATGCCGAGGAAGGTGAAATTGTCGTCGCGCAGCCAGTGCAGGAACTCCAGCGCCTCGGCAACATCGCCCTTGCGCGCCGGCAGGATGCCATCGTGAAGCTCGGCGACGATCGCATCGAGCCGATCCAGCATCACCGGCCAGTCGCGCACGGCGGCGGCAACCTGGCCGAGCGTGGCGATGATGCCCGCCTCCAGTTCGGTGACGGCGCGGTCGTCCAGACCCGACATGACGACCGAGATCACGCTGGTGCGCACCGTCGATTCGAGCGCCATGCCCGGCCGCGACTTGTCGATGATCTCGAAACCGGATTTGCTGTGCTGGACCTCCAGGACCGGATGGACGACGAACTCGACCGTCGACGAGGCGGCATTGATTTCGCCCAGCACCGAATCGAACAGGAACGGCTTGTTGTCGTTGACGATCGCCATCACGGTGCAATGCCGGCCGGGACCGTCGGGCAGCGATTGGGTCCGGACGATCGACTTGCCGGCGCGATGATCGGCGACCGCCGATGCCGCCAGTTTCAGCGCGCCGACGAGCACGTCGTCGGACAGGACCGCCATGTCCTCGCCATGGGCATCGAGCAGAAGGTGTTCGGCGAGCACCTTGGCCTTGTCGCTGATCCGGTCCGCGATTCTGGCCAGTTTACGCCGCGAAGCCGCGTTCAATGCCTTTGCCATGTCCCCATCCCGTCCGCGATTTTCGTTTACTCACGCTCTGTTGGCGTTTAGGTCGTCACCATAACAGCGCGATTGCAGTTTGCAGCACAAATTGCACGCCACACGGGCAACGCCACGCGACGGACGGGTCGATGAGCAGCAAGCCTCCACATGACGCGCGCGAAGAGGAAGCGCGCAAGGTGATCGAGCGCGTCGAACGCGAATCGGAGATCGTCGGCCGCTCATCCTTCGTGCGCGCCGCAGGCAAGGCGCGCGACCATCTGACGGCGGCCGAGGCCGAGGGCGGAGATCCGGTCGAAGTGTGGGGCCGGCGGGTCGGCCGCGCCCTTTCGGTGATCGCCTTCATCGGTCTGGCGTTGTGGCTGCTTGCGTATCTGACGCGATGAGCGGCACCGCGCACAAAGCGGACGTGCGATCGGGCGGCCAGCCCGGTTCGGTCGCCGTGATCTCAAGCCATGTGGCGCGCGGCGCGGTGGGCAACCGGGCGGCGGTGTTCGCCATCGAGACCCTCGGCCACCCTGTGATCGCCGTGCCGACCGTTCTTCTGCCCTGGCATCCCGGTCATGGACCGGCGACGCGGATCGTCCATGACAATCGCCAGTTTGCCGGTTTCATGGCCGATCTCGCCCACGGTCCGTTCGCCGGCGAGATCGACGCGGTGCTTTCGGGTTATCTGGGCGATGCCGACCAGGCTGCGGCCATTGCAGCATCGGTAGCCGCGCTGCGTTCGGTGCGGCCCGATCTGGTCTACGCCTGCGATCCGGTGATCGGCGACGAGAGCGGGCTTTACGTGTCCGGGCAGGTCGCCCGCGCCATCGCCGGCACGCTGGTGCCCGTCGCCGATCTGGCGACGCCGAACCGGTTCGAACTGGCCTGGCTTTCGGGCCGCGTGCTTGAAGACAATGAGGCGATCATCGATGCCGCGCGGGCGCTCGGCCCGCCTGCCGTGCTGGTGACCAGCGCGTTCGCCGCGCAGCCGGGCATGACCGGAAACCTGCTCGTCCTCCGCGAAACCGCCCATCTTGCCGAACACGCCGCCTTCGACCGCGCGCCGAACGGCACCGGTGATTTGACCGCAGCGCTGTTTCTGGCGCACCTTGTCAACGGGCGCGGCCATCTGGAGGCGTTGCGGCGGGCGACGGCATCCGTGCATGACGTGCTTGCCAACACCCGTGCCCGCGGAGCGGATGAGCTGACCCTGGCGGCCGATGCCGCCCTTCTGTCCGAGCCGGTGTCCGACATCGATGTCCGTTCCGTCGGGCGGCGGTCCGAAGACATCACGATTGGAGGATGAACGAGATGCGACGACGGCAAAGCGGATGCATTGTCAGCCTGGTCATGGTGCTGGCCGGCGGCCTATCGGCCGCCCACGCCGGTCAGGTGGACGCGGTCGCAGCGGTCAATGGCTGGTATGCGAGCCTCCTGCCCGGACAGGATGCCCAGGCCATGGCGGCACGGGCAGGCACGCTTCTGGCCGAGGGCGCGGTGATCGACCTGCGCGATCTGGGCATCACGCAGACGCGCGAGGAATATCTCGAAAGTCTCGATGTGTGGGCAGATGCGGTCGCCGGCGGCACCGTCGCCCATCGGATCGAGCCGGGCTTTGACGAGAGCAGCGTGTCGGCGACGGTCTGCTTCCGCTTTGCGGACAATGAAGTGCTGAACCGCGAGACCTTCGCCATCGAGCAAGGGCTGATCGTCAACGCCCTGTTCGAACAGATCGCCGACGACTGCGCGGGCTTCTGAAGCCGGGCTGTCCGGTCAGCCCAACTTGTCCAGCCTGCGCTGCATTTCGGCGATCTGGTCGCGCATCGACTGCAGATCGTTCTGGTCGCCGGCTTCGCTCTCGGCCGGCGCCGCGGCCGGCGCGCCGTTCTTGGGCTGGGTGTCGGCCATCGCCGCGAACGGATTGAACATCTTCATGGCCTCCTGGAAGATCGCCATGTTGCGTTGCGCCTGCTCGCCGAACATCTGCTGACCCGAGGCCACGACGTCAATCGGCGACTTGCCGATCATCGAGGTCATCTGCTCGCGGATGCGTTCCTGTTCCTGGGCGAAGGCGGCCATCGAATGTTCGAGATAGCTCGGCACCACCATCTGCATCTGGTCGCCGTAAAACGAGATGAGCTGGCGCAGCACCGAGACCGGCAGCATGGTCTGGCCGGACTTGGCCTCCTGTTCGAAGATGATCTGCGTCAGGACCGAATGGGTGATGTCCTCACCGGACTTGGCGTCCTGGACCGTGAAGTCCTCGTCCTCCTTGACCATGGTGGCCAGGTCGTCGAGCGTCACATAGGTGCTCGTGCCGGTGTTGTAGAGCCGACGGTTTGCATATTTCTTGATGATTGTCGCGCCATCGGTTTTGCCCATGGACATCTCCTTGATCGGCCTTCCGGGTTCTTGCCAGCGCCCTGACAATCTTGTCCGTGGGCGAAACAGTAAACCCTGATCTGGTCAAATTCAAAACGTTTCTCGCATCGCACCAAATCGCTGCGGAACCGCAGCCCACCCTATCCCTTTAACCAATAGGCAATGGCCGATATCTGTGGCACACGAAGGCCGAACCACGCGTTTTGCCGCTTGTATATTGCAGTTTGTCGAGGAGACACATCATGGAGCCGATCGTCATCGCCAGCGCAGCCCGCACGCCAGTGGGCTCGTTCAACGGGTCATTTGCCAATGTGCCGGCGCACGAGTTGGGCGCAACGGCCATCAAGGGCGCGCTCGAGCGGGCCGGCGTCGATCCGGCCGACGTCGATGAAGTGATCATGGGCCAGATACTGGCCGCCGGCGAAGGCCAGAACCCGGCCCGGCAGGCGGCGATGGCCGCAGGGTGTCCGCAGGAAACCACCGCCTGGGGCATCAACCAGCTTTGCGGATCGGGCCTGCGGGCGGTGGCGCTCGGCATGCAGCAGATCGCCACCGGCGATGCCAACATCGTGGTGGCCGGCGGCCAGGAATCGATGTCGATGTCGCCGCACTGCCAGCATTTGCGCGGCGGCGTGAAGATGGGCGACGTCAAGCTGATGGACACGATGCTCAAGGACGCGCTCATGGACGCCTTCTACGGCTACCACATGGGCAACACGGCCGAGAACGTTGCGCGCCAGTGGCAGCTCACCCGCGAACAGCAGGACGAATTCGCCGTCGCCAGCCAGAACAAGGCCGAGGCCGCCCAGAAGGCGGGCAAGTTCAAGGACGAAATCGTCGCGCACACGGTCAAGACCCGCAAGGGCGAGACCGTGGTCGAAGACGACGAATACATCAAGCACGGCGTCACGATCGACGGCATCGCCAAGCTGCGTCCCGCCTTCGACAAGGAAGGCACGGTGACCGCGGCCAACGCGTCGGGCATCAATGATGGCGGCGCGGCGACGGTGCTGATGAGTGCCGCAGAAGCCGCAAAGCGGGGCATCAGCCCGATGGCGCGCATCGTCTCCTGGGCGACCGCCGGCGTCGATCCGCAGATCATGGGCACGGGGCCGATCCCCGCATCGCGCAAGGCACTGGAGAAGGCCGGCTGGAAGATCGACGATCTCGACCTGGTCGAGGCCAACGAGGCATTCGCCGCCCAGGCCTGCGCGGTCAACAAGGACATGGGCTGGAACCCGGACATCGTCAACGTCAATGGCGGCGCGATCGCGATCGGTCACCCGGTCGGCGCATCCGGCGCCCGCGTCCTCAACACCCTGCTCTTCGAGATGCAGCGCCGCGACGCCAAAAAGGGCCTGGCCACGCTGTGCATCGGCGGCGGCATGGGCGTTGCGCTCTGCGTCGAGCGGGATTGACCTGACAGCACCAACGGACGGCGGGCGGTGGATGGCATGGAGGTTGTCGTCCGCCCGCTCCGCCGCCACGCCATCGCAATTCAAAGGGAGGAGACATCATGAGCAGAGTGGCGCTTGTCACCGGCGGAACGCGCGGCATCGGGGAGGCAATCTCCAAGGCCTTGAAGGAGGCCGGCTACACGGTCGCAGCCACCTATGCCGGCAATGACGAAAAGGCCAAGGCCTTCACCGATGCGACCGGCATCCGGACCTACAAGTGGAACGTCGCCGACTATGGCGAGTCCAAGGCCGGCATCGAAAAGGTCGAAGCCGATTTGGGCCCGATCGAAATCGTCGTCGCCAATGCCGGCATCACGCGCGATGCGCCGTTCCACAAGATGACGCCCGACCAGTGGAAAGAAGTGATCGACACCAACCTGACCGGCGTCTTCAACACCATCCACCCCGTCTGGCCCGGCATGCGCGAGCGCAAGTTCGGCCGCGTCATCGTCATCTCGTCTGTCAACGGCCAGAAGGGCCAGTTCGCGCAGACCAATTATGCGGCCACCAAGGCCGGCGACATCGGCATCGTGCGCAGCCTCGCCCAGGAAGGCGCGCGCAATAACATCACGGCCAATGCGGTCTGCCCGGGCTACATCGCGACCGAAATGGTCATGGCCGTGCCCGAAAAGGTGCGCGAATCCATCATCGCGCAAATTCCCGCAGGCCGGCTCGGCGAGCCCGAGGAGATTGCGCGCTGCGTGGCTTTCCTGGCCTCCGACGATGCCGGCTTCATCAACGGCTCGACGATCTCGGCCAACGGCGCCCAGTTCTTCGGCTGAACCGGCAAAACTCGCTGATCGGCGGAGCGGGGCATCCCGCTCCGCTTTTTTTGCGCAAACGCCCCGGACTCAGGCGCCTTCGATTTCCTCTCGCATCAGTTCGAGTTCAAGCCATTCCTCTTCCATCGCCGCATGGCGCGAACGCGCCGCCTCGAGCTTTTTCGCCGCATCGGAAAAGCCGGACGGATCGCGCGCGAAAAAGTCCGGATCGGCCATTTGCGTTTCGAGCCCCGCGATTTCCTCGGCCAGACGTTCCATGTCGCCCGGCAGCGTCTCCAGCGCGTGCTTCTGCTTGAAGGACAGTTTCCGCCGTGCCGGCGCGGACTTCGTGTCCGGCTGGGCCGGGCTTTCGCCGGTTCTTGCCGGCTTTGCCTTGGCCGGTGACGCATCGGTCTTGGCGGTCCGCTCGCGCCGCTGCGCAATCATGTCCGAATAGCCGCCCGCATAGGTCAGCCAATGGCCCGGCTGCGCCGGATCGGGCGCGATGACGGCGCCGACGGTGCGGTCGAGAAAGTCGCGATCGTGGCTGACCAGAAGAACCGTGCCGTCGAACCCGGCGATCAGCTCCTGCAGCAGATCGAGCGTTTCCATGTCCAGATCGTTGGTCGGCTCGTCCAGCACCAGCAGGTTGGCCGGCCGCGCAAGAAGGCGCGCGAGCACGAGCCGCGCCTTCTCGCCGCCCGACAGTTCGCGCACCGCCGTGCGCGCCTGCTCGGGCTTGAACAGGAAATCCTTCATGTAGGAGGCAACATGCTTCTGGCTGCCATTGACGACCAGCGACTGGCCCCGCCCGTCGGTAAGGAAATGCTCCAGCGTCTCGTCGGGATCGAGCGCGGCGCGGCGCTGGTCGAGGACGGCGATGTCGAGATTGGCGCCGAGGCGCACATGGCCCGCATCGGGTTGGACCGCTCCCGTCAGCAGATTGATCAACGTCGTCTTGCCGGCCCCGTTCGGCCCGACCAGCCCGATCCGGTCGCCGCGATGGATGCGCAGCGAAAAATCGCGCACCAGCGGCTTTCCGCCGAGCGTCTTTGACACAGTGTCGGCTTCGATCACCAGCTTGCCCGATGCGCGGGCATCGCTCGCCTCCATCTTCGCCGCGCCCGGCGCCTTGTCGTGATCGCGAAACCGCTGACGCAGCGACTTCAGATCCGACAGGCGGCGCTGGTTGCGTTTGCGCCGCGCGGTCACCCCATAGGTCAGCCAGTGCTCCTCACGCACGATCTTGCGCTTGAGCTTGTGCAGATCCCGCTCTTCCTCCTCGAGAACCCGGTCGCGCCATTCCTCGAAGCCGGCAAACTCCTTGGCGTTTTCGCGGATTGTGCCCCGGTCGAGCCAAACCGTTTTGCGGGTCAGAGTCTCGAGAAAGCGCCGGTCGTGCGAGATGATCACCATCGCCGACGCGGACCGCGCCAGTTCACCTTCGAGCCATTCGATCGCCGGCAGGTCGAGATGGTTGGTCGGCTCGTCCAGCAGCAGGAGATCGGGTGCGGCCGCCAGCGTCCGCGCCAGCGCCGCGCGGCGCGCCTCGCCGCCCGACAGGTTGGCGGGCGAACGGGCCGGATCGAGACCGAGTTCCGCCAGAAGCCGATCCGCACGGTGCGGATCGTCGAGCGGGCCAAGCCCGGCGGCGGCATAGGCGTGAAGATCGGCATGACCGTCCAGATCGGGTGCCTGCGGCAGATAGCGCACGGTCGTCCCGCGCTCGGCGGTCACCGTGCCGCCGCTTGGTTCGACCAGACCGGCCGCGATCTTCAAAAGCGTCGACTTGCCCGATCCGTTCCGCCCGACCAGCGCGATCCTGTCGCCCTGATGGACGGAAAAGGAAACCGCCTCCAGAAGCGGCTTGCCGCCGAAGGTCAGCGTAATGTCTTCGAGACGCATCAGGGGCGCGGCAATGGCCATGGCGGGTCCGTCCGGGTGAGAAGGCGGATGTGCCGTCTTGGCCAGCGGAAATCAAGGGTGGCAAAGGGACGACCCATGGCGCTCCCGGAACGCGCGCCCACGAAAAAGCCCGCCGGTGAGGCGGGCTTCTCCGGTAATCGCATTGGCTCCCGGTCAGGGGCAGCGGGCGATGTAGGTCGAGCCGTCCGGATTGCGGTAACGGCAGTTTCCGTTGGCAAGCGTACCGACGAGCAGGCCGGCGCCCGCGCCGACGGCCGTGCCCGCGATGATCTGTCCGGTGTTGCCGCCTGCAACGGCTGCCGCGCCGCCGCCGATCAGCGCACCCGCCGCCGTGGTCTGTTCGGTGGTCGTGCAGCCGGCAGCAAGCATGCCTGCCGTCGCCACCGCCGCAATGGTCAATCCAAGTCTCATGGGCTCAGTCTCCTATTTTGCCTGCGCCGATCTAAACACCCCATCAGGGCTTGCAGTGTGTTCGATATCACACATCAAACGATGCAACCAGCGCCGCGGTTCCACTGCCCAGAAGAATGCGCAGACCGTCCGCCGACACGTTCGAAAGGGTCAGGGAACTGCCCATCGCGACCTCGACGGCGTCAAGCGGCCAGTCTGCCCGTTCGATCGACAGGCCGGACAGTGGCGAAAACGGGATCACTGAAAACAGCGTACCGGCCGGCCAGTCGGGCATGGCGGGCTTGCCGGGCAACAACGGCGATGCCTCCTCGGTCCCGCTCGTCAGCAACACCTCGATGTCCCTCTCGCGCGCTATGCGCAATGCCATCATGATGTGAAACAGCATGTGGTCGCTGCGCGCACCGCCCATCGCGCCGCACAGAACCAGCGACCGGGCGCCGGCCTCGAGCGCGCGCATCACCGCCAGTTCGCCGTCGGATATCGCCTTGCGCGCCGGAAGGTCATGCCGGGGAACATGGCCGTTCCGGCCGAGCAGTTCATCCGGCGTCGAATCGAAATCGCCGACCCAGACTTCCGGCTCGAGACCGAGCGCTGCCGCATGGCGCATGCCGCCGTCGGCGGCAATCGCACGAGCACCGGCAACCTGTGATCGCAGCCGGTCGGTGGGCGTCAGGTCGCCGTCCATGAGAATTGCGAACCGCGCGTCGCGGGCGGTGGCTTTCGCTGCCTTCATGGCTCTGCCTAGACCGATTTGCGGCAGCAGGCCAAGGGCTTGGCCAGTGCGGCAGACCGATTTCGCTGGCCGGGCGCTTGAACCGGGCCGGCGGTGATGCTAGATCGAACCTGCTCTAACGGGGTGCCGGAAACGGCTGAGAGGCGTCATGCCAACCCGAAGAACCTGATCCGGTTAGCACCGGCGTAGGGATTAGACGCGATCGACGCGGTCGGACCCGCAGGCGCCTTTTCCCGTTCAACTCGAACCAAAGGAGGTGCCGCAATGCACACCCGTCCGTCCGTCCGTCTCCTTCTTCCCCTGCTCGCCGCCGGCCTTCTGGCAAGCGCGGTGCACACGGCCGATGCGGCCGAAACGCTGACCGTCTACACCTATGACAGCTTCACCGCCGAATGGGGGCCCGGCCCGCAGGTCGAGACCGCGTTCGAAGCCGAATGCGGCTGCGACCTGCGCTTTGTTTCGGTCGCCGACGGCGTCGCGCTTCTCAACCGGCTGCGCCTGGAAGGCGGCAACACCGACGCCGACATCGTGCTCGGCTTCGACACCAATCTGACGGCCGAGGCGCGCGAGACGGGCTTTTTCGCCCCGCACGGCATTTCGCTCGACGCGGTCTCGGTGCCCGGCGGATGGAATGACGACGTCTTCGTGCCGTTCGACTACAGCCACTTCGCCATCGTTTACGACACCGAGACGATCGAAAACCCGCCGACATCGATGGCCGAGTTCCTGGCCAATGAAGACGGGCACAAGATCGCCATCCAGGACCCCCGCACGTCGACCCCCGGGCTCGGGCTGATGCTTTGGCTGAAAAAGCTCTATGGCGACGAGGCGCCCGATGCCTACGCCAAGCTCGCCGACCGGGTGCTGACGGTGACGCCGGGCTGGTCGGAAGCCTATGGCCTGTTCACCAATGGCGAGGTCCCGATGGTGCTCTCCTACACGACCTCGCCGGCTGTCCATATCGTGCTCGACGGCACCGACCGCTATCAGGCGATGGCGTTCGAGGAGGGCCACTACATGCAGATCGAGGTGGCCGCACAGACGACCGCCGGAGCCGAAAACCCGCTCTCCGCGCAGTTTCTGAGCTTCATGACCGGACCCGGTTTCCAGGACATCATCCCCGAAACCAACTGGATGATGCCCGCCGGCGAGACGTCCAAACCGCTCAATCCCGCCTTTGACGGGCTGGTCGAGCCGGAGATCACGCTTCTGTTCGATCCGCAGACCGTCGCCGAAAACCGCGCGGCCTGGACCGCCGAGTGGCTCGAAGTGATGAGCCGCTGACGGTGAAGGTCCGGTGATCCATTCGAACGCCCGCCATGCTCCGCTTGCCGGCGCAGCCCTGGCGGGCATCTTGCTGGCGGCCCTGTGCCTCGTCGCGGTCGGTGCGCTTGTCGTGCAGGCGGGCGGCGCCGGCGGCGCCGGCGCGGTTCTGACCGACCCGGTCGTCTGGCGCATCGTGCGCTTCACCCTGTGGCAGGCGTTCTGGTCGACCGTGCTGTCGGTCGGCCTGGCGGTGCCGGTGGCGATCGCGATCACCCGCATGGCTGACGGGCCGGGCCGGCGCGCCGTCCTCGCCCTGTTCGCCCTGCCGCTCGCCCTGCCGCAGATCGTCGCCGTGCTCGGCGTCGTCGCGCTTTACGGACAGCGCGGCTTCGTCACCGGGCTGGCCGAACGGGCCGGCTTCGACCCGCCATCGATATACGGCCTGACCGGCATCCTGATCGCCCACACCTTCTTCAACCTGCCGCTGGCCGCGCGCATCATGCACGGCGCGCTCGCCCTCGTGCCGGCCGAATATGAGCGCCTGTCCGCGCAGCTCGGCATGGGCGCGCTGGCGCGTTTTCGGCTGATCGAATGGCCGGCCATGCGCCCGGCTGCCGCCGGTGCGGCGGCTTTGGTTTTCATGCTGTGTGTGACCAGTTTCGCCGTCGTGCTGATCCTGGGCGGCGGGCCGCGCGCAACGACGCTGGAAGTGGCGCTCTATCAGGCCCTGACTTTCGATTTCGACATTGTCCGCGCCGTGGTGCTGACGCTTCTTCAGCTGGCCGTCACCATCGGGGCCGTTGCCCTGTTCGCATTCGCCGGCGGATCGGTGGAAGCCGGCATGACCATTTCGGCCGGCGCGTCACGCCGCTTTGCCGGCGACCGGCCCGCTGGCGCCATCTTGGGCGGCGCGCTGACCCTGATGGCGGTCCTTTACGTCGGCGCGCCGTTTGTTGCGATCCTTGCAAGCGGCTTGGCCAGCGACCTGACGGATTTGATCGTCCAGCCGCGTGTCCGGCGGGCCATGCTGACCTCGCTCGGCCTCGGCCTTTGCGCCGCGGCCCTCGCCGTCGGGCTGGCCTATGCGCTGTCGCGCGGCGCAGCGGAAATGGCCGCAGGGCGCCGCTTCTCCGGCCGGCCGGCCTTCACGGAGACGGTTCTGACCAGCGCCCCGTCGCTGATCCTCGTGGTGCCGCCGATCGTCATCGCGGCGGGCTGGTTCATCGCCCTGCGCACGGTGACCAACGTCTATGACGCAGCACCTTATCTCGTCATCACAGTCAACGCGGCCATGGCGATGCCGTTCGCCGCGCGGCTGATCCATCCGGCCATGCTCGCCGCCGAAGAGCGCAACGGACGTCTTTGCGCCCATCTCGGCCTTGCCGGCATGGCACGCTGGCGGCTCGTCACCTGGCCGGTGCTGCGCGCGCCGCTGGTCGCCGCGCTCGCCTTCGCGCTCGCCCTGTCGCTTGGCGATCTGGGCGTGATCGCATTGTTCGGCTCCGAGCAGGTGCAGACCATGCCCTATCTGATCATGCAGCGCATGGGCGCCTATCGCACGCAGGATGCCGCCGGACTGGCGCTGATCCTGATGGTCATGACAATGGCGCTGATGCTGGCCGCCGAGCATTTCGCGCGCCGATCACGAACGATGGTGACGGAAGGAAGCAGCGAATGAAGGGCCTGCCGGTCACATGCGACGGCGTTGTATTCCGCTACGGGCCGGATGCGGCGCCCATGCGGTTCGACTGCACGTTTGCGCCACGGACGATCACCGCCGTGATGGGTCCGAGCGGCTCGGGCAAGTCGACGCTTTTGTCGCTGATCGCCGGGTTCGAGCGTGCCGAATCGGGCCACATCCTGATCGGCGGCGATGACATCACCGGCAAGGCGCCCGGCAACCGGCCGGTCTCCTGCGTTTTCCAGGACAACAATCTGTTCGCCCATCTCGATGCCGGCACCAATGTCGCGCTCGGCATATCGCCGGCGCTGAAACGCAGCGCCGAGGACGAGGCGCGCGTCGCCCAAGCGCTCGAAGCGGTCGACCTTGCCGGCTATGGCGCGCGCATGCCCGGCTCCATGTCCGGCGGCGAACGGCAACGTGTCGCGATCGCACGCGCGCTTGTGCGCGAGCGGCCGGTGCTGCTGCTCGACGAGGCGTTCGGCTCGCTCGGGCCGGCCCTGCGCGAATCCATGCTCGATCTGGTCGCCGATCTTCAGCGCCGGACGGCGATGACCGTCGTCATGGTCAGCCACGATCCGGCCGACGCCCGGCGAATCGCCACCGATCTGGTCTTTCTCAAGGACGGCACCGTCGGCGCGCAGGGCCCGGTCAGCGAATTGCTCAACGGCCATGCAAATGCCGAGGTCAATGCCTATCTGGGGTCGCAGAGGCTTCCATCGTGACGCGCTTTCGCCCAATTGTGGCGTCAGGGAGCCGTGGACACGGCCCTTTTTACCGTGCCTTAACCATGAAGCGGGCTGTGTGGCCCTGATCCAATTGCGGCGACCGGAGATGCCGCGCAAGAGGCGGCGCGCCCATGCGTAGTGTGATGCGGAACTGGAACGGAACGTCCCGGCGGCGGGCGCGGACGGTGCTCGCCGTCGCGGCGCTGTTCGGGCTCGCCGGCTGCACATCGCTGAGCAATATGGGGCTGGACGAGGATCTGGCGCCGTCCGCGCGTCCGGTCATCGCCGACAATGTGCGCTCCGGCCGGCTTGCCCGGATCGGCGCTGCCCAGCATCCGCGCATCCTTGCCTCCTATGGCGGCGAATATTCCGACATGCGGCTCGAACGCATGGTCGCCGGCATCGTCGGTCGTCTGGTCACGGTCTCCGACAATCCCAGCCAAGTCTATCAGATCTCGATCCTCGATTCGCCGGTGATCAACGCCTTCGCGCTGCCGGGCGGCTATCTTTATGTCTCGCGCGGGCTGCTCGCCGTCGCCAACGATTCGGCGGAACTTGCGGCCGTCATCGCCCATGAAATGGCCCATGTGACCGCAAACCACGGCGTCTTGCGTCAGCAGCGCGAAGCCGAGGCCGTCCTGGCGAGCCGCGTCGTTTCCGAGGTCCTGTCCGACAAGGCAGCCGGCCAGCGCGCGCTGGCGCGCGGCAAGGTGGCGCTGGCCCAGTTCTCGCGCAACCAGGAGCTGGAAGCGGATGGCATCGGCATCGCGGCGATGGGCGAAGCGGGCTTCGACCCCTATGCGGCAGCCGATTTCCAGGCCGCGATGAGCGCGTTCAACGCCTTCAACAGCGGGACGGACGCACAGGTAAACAGCCTCGACTTCCTGTCGACCCACCCCTCGACGCCGCAGCGCGTGGCATTGGCGCTCGGCCATGCGCGCAAATTCGGTGCGCGCGGAGTCGGCGACCGCAATCGGCAGGCATATCTGGCGGGCATTGACGGCATGCTGTTCGGCGACAGCCCCGATGAGGGTTATGTGCGCGGCCGCACCTATGCCCATGCGGATCTGGGCATCGCGTTCGAGTTTCCGCCCGGTTTTGACATCGAAAACCGGCCCGAGGCCGTGCTTGCGGCCCGCGCAAGCGACGGCGCCGGCATCCGCTTTGACGGCGTCGAGGTGCCGCCGCGCCAGTCGCTGACCGACTATCTCGCCAGCGGCTGGGTGGAGGGTCTTGATCCGTCGACCGTTCGCGCCGTATCGATCAACGGTCTGGACGGCGCGGCCGCGCGCGCCCGTGTCGGCCGATGGGATTTCGACGTCACGGTGGTGCGGGGCGGCGGGCAGGTCTATCGCATCCTGGTGGCGGTGCCGGTCGGGTCGGGCGCGCTCGACGCGCTGGCGCAGAACAGCCGGACGGGCTTCCGGATGCTGTCGGCCGCCGAAAAGGCCAGCCTCAAGCCGCTGCGCATTCGCATCGTCCGAGCCGGCAATGGCGACACGGTGGAGAGCCTGTCGCAGACCATGCTGGGCACGACCGACGGGCCGGGCTTCTTCCGCGTGCTGAACGGTCTCGAGCCGGGCGAGGCCATCGTCGCCGGTCAGTACTACAAGACCGTCACCTACTAAGCCTTTTCGACAGGCCGGCGGGCCCGCCGGGCCAGAAACCGGGTCAGCGCAGTTCCAGAAGCCGTTCCAGATAGTCGCGCTCAAGCTGCGGCGACAGGGCGTTGCCGAGCCGCTCGCGGATCGCTTCGAGGATCTCGCGGGCGCGGCGAACGTCGATTTCGTCGGGTATGTCGACCGACTCGCCGAAATCGGGGCCCGATGAGCGCTGCGGCCGCCCGAGCGGATCGCGATCCTCGCCGTTCCGGTTGCCGCCCGGCTCCATCGAGCCGGCCTGGCCGTTCTGCGCCTGCTGCTGCATCTGCTGCATCATGTCGCCGGCGCCGCGGCGCAGCGCGTCGAGCGCATTGCCCTGTTCGGCCAGTGCCTGTTCGCCCTCATTGCCGCCCAGCGCTTCGCCGGCTTCGCCCATCGATCGTCCGGCCTCGCCGAAATCCTCGCCCGGATCGATCCCCATGCCGCGCAGGCCGTCCAGAAACTGGTCGAGCCGGTCCTGCAGGGCCTGCTGGCCGGGTGCCAGACCCTCAAGGCCCTGCCCCTCTTGGCCGGGCTGTCCCTGCTGGCCGCCCTGGCCGTTCTGGCCCATCTGGCCCTGTCCGGGTTGCTGTCCCTGCTGACCTTGGCCCTGACCCGGCGGCGGCTGTTGACCCATCTGGCCCTGCCCGGGCTGCTGCTGGCCTTGTTGCCCCTGCCGGTTCTGGCGGAAGGTCTCGTCCATCAATTGCTGCTGCTCGCGCAGGATCTCGCCGAGCTCGTTCATCTGCTGCTGCGCCTGGCTCTGGCTATCGCCCTGCTGATTCGGGCGCGCCATCTGCAGATTGTTCATCATGTTCTCGAGCTGACGCAGCATGTCCATCGCCTGCTCGCGGGCGCCCGAACGGGCCATTTCCTCGATCTGGTCCATCATCTCGTCCAGCGTCTGCCGGTCGATCTCCTCACCGTTCGCCTCGGGCATCCGCTGCGCCAGGTCCGGATCGTTCATGGCGCGCTCGGCGAATTCGCGCATGAATTCGTTCATCGCCTCGCGCAATTCGTCCATCAGGCGCGCGATCTCTTCCTCCGAGGCGCCGTTTTCGAGCGCGTCCTGAAGCGCCTGCTGCGCCTGCCGCAGCCGGCGCTCTGCGTCGGTCAGACCGCCATCCTCGATCTGGCGCGCCACCTCCCACAGATAGTCGACCACGGCGCGCAGCTGGTCGTCATTGCGCGCATCGGCCAGCCGCGTCCGCGCCGTCGTCATGCCCAGAAAGTGCGAGGCATTGTCGATGGTTTCCTCGGGATAGAGCATCAGCACGTCGAGCAGGTCGACGATCTCCGCCTGCCGGTTGGCATCGAGCGCGAGAATGCGGCGCTGCTCGATCAATGCGCGCGCCAGCGGGTTGGAAAACGGGCGGCCCGGCAGAACCAGCGTGCGCGGACCGCTGCGGCCCGTCTGGCCCAGATCGTCCTCGGCCTCCAGCGTCAGCCGCACCCGCGCCCCGGCCCATGGATGCTCGGTCAGATCGCGCATGGTGCGCGCTGCGCCATCCTCGGCGTTGCGGCGCGGCAATGTCAGCGGCAGTTCCGGCGCATCGTAAAGCGGTCGTGCACCTTGCGCGTCCGGGTCGGCCAGTTCGATCAGACCGCGCGCGGCGGAAACCCGATAATCGTCTGTCGCCGTGTACCGGAGGGTCATCGTGCCGTTGGCGGCCCGCTCGAACGGCTCTTCTGGCGTAAAGGCGATCTCGGGCGCATGATCCTCGGTCATCAGGATCGACCATGCGCCGAGCGTTTCCTCGCCGTCGGCGATCTGCAGCGCGCCGCCCGTATCCACCGTCGCGGCGAACGCGCGCGCTTCGCCTTGCGCGCCGGCTTCTGCGGCGATCGGCGCTTCGGGGGTCGGGAAGCTGACGGTCTCGGCGCCGGTTCCACCGGCAATCCGCACGGTGATGCCACTGCCTTCGGGCGCGGTGAATTGGGTCTTTTCGGCGTTGAGTTCGGAGGTCAGGAAGATCGGCGCAATGCCGGTATAGGCCGGTGGCGTGATCCACACATCGACGCGCGCCGGCACGACGATCTCGGCCGCATGGGTGCGCGCGACATCGGTCAGCCGGCCGCCGTCGGGCGCGAACGAATAGGCGAATGCCGTCACCAGCAAAAGCGGCACCAGCGCCCGCAGGGCCCAAGGATCGCGCGCCGGCAGCGTGGTGCGCGCGCGCACCGGATCGACGCGGCCGAGCCCCTTGGCGATATTGTCCTGATGCGCCTTCCAGAGTGCGCGTGCGAACGGATCGTCATCGCGCGCCAGACGGTCGTCCTGGGTCGTGATCGGCCGGTGCAGCAGGTGGTTCTCGCGCTCGAGACGGTGATCGACATCGCGCTCGACTGGCAGGGTCAGGCGGCGCAGCGGCCAAAGCGCCGCGACCGCGGCAACGGCGAGGACCGCGCCGGTGCCGATCCGCACCGCGTCGGGCACCGCCCGGAAAAAGCCGAACCATGACAGGATGGCAAACAGGCAGACGATGATGGCGAGCGGAAGGACCAAAGGCGCCAGCCGTTCTGCGGCGATCACGGCACGGCTGAACCATCGGGCAAAGCCAAGCCCCGCACCGGCATCGGCGCGTTTCAGGCCCCGTCCCCGGTTTTTGCCGGATGGCGCAGGCTGATGGTCGGACATGGCGCTGTGCCCTCTGCTCACCTGAGAAAAGATAGCAGCTTATGTGGCGTTGGCGAGGCGAAAGCGGCTCACGCTTTTGTCACTGGCCGATTGCCTGTGGGCGGATGCCGGCGGTCAGAGCCAGTCCGGCACGCTGTCGAGCCCGATCAGCGCCTTATAGGACGGGCGCGGGCGGGCGATATGCCATTGATCGCCATGAACGATCACCTCGGGCACCAGAAGCCTCGAATTGTAGGTGCCCGCCTGCACCGCGCCATAGGCTCCGGCCGACCCGATCGCCAAGAGATCGCCCGGCGCGGGCTTTGCCATATCGCGTTCATGCGCCAGATAATCGCCCGATTCGCACACCGGGCCGACAAGATCGGCCACCACGCGCGGCGCGTCGGGCGACGGCTCGATCACCGGGAAGACATCGTGCCATGCATCATACAGCGTCGGCCGGATCAGGTCGTTCATCGCGGCATCGACAATGACGAAACTCTTGGTCTCGAGCGCCTTCAGATAGATCACCGACGTGACGAGAATGCCGGCATTGCCGGCGATCAGCCGGCCCGGTTCGAAGATCGTCTTCACGCCCAGCGGGCGGACATGCTTCTTGACGATGTCGGCATAATCGTCAGGCAGCGGCGGCGGGTCGTTGTCCATGCGGTAGGGGATGCCCAGACCGCCGCCCAGATCGACATGCTCGATCGCGTGTCCATCGGCGCGCAACTGGCCGACCAGATCGGTCAAAAGCGCGAATGCATCGTCGAACGGCTGCAGCGCCGTGATCTGGCTGCCGATATGCATGTCGATGCCGATGACGGCGAGACCCGGCAGTTCGGCGGCGCGGCGGTAGACGTCGCGCGCGCGGGTCCACGAAATGCCGAACTTGTCTTCCTTCTTGCCGGTCGAGATCTTGGCATGCGTCCTGGCGTCGACATCGGGATTGATGCGCAGCGACACGGGCGCGGTCTTGCAGGCGGCAACGGCGCGCGCCGAAAGCAGTTCGAGTTCCGGCTCGGACTCCACGTTGAAGCAATGAATGCCCGCCGACAGCGCGAAATCCATCTCGGCGGCGGTCTTGCCGACACCGGAAAACATGATCTTGTCGGGCGCGATGCCGGCGGCCAGCGCGCGCCGCAACTCACCTTCGGAAACCACATCGGCGCCCGAGCCGAGCTTTGCCAGCGTGGCCAGCACGGCCTGGTTCGAATTGGCCTTCATCGCATAGCAGACGAGCGCGTCGATATCGGAAAACGCACCGGCAAAGACCTGGTAATGGCGGGTAAGCGTCGCCGTCGAATAGCAATAAAACGGCGTGCCGACCTGCTCGGCGATCAGCGGCAACGGCACGCCCTCGGCGTGCAGAACGCCATCGCGATAGTCGAAATGGTTCACGGTGCGTGGTCCAAGCTACTGGATCAGGCCGTCGAGGATGAACGGACGGTCGGCCTCTTCGGGCTGCGCCTGTTCCGGCGTGCCGTCCGGCGCGGTACGCGCGGGCGGCGGCTCCAGCGGGCCTGCCCGTCCGCAGGCGGCGAGCGCGAGAAGAAGCGCGGCAAGGGCCGTGCGGGTCAGGGCTGTACGGGCGGTCATGGCGTCGGTCTCGTTTCTGGCAACCGGCGTCTGTGTGCGGCAAATGGTGAAGCGTTGCAAGGGGCCGGCGCGCGGCTTGCCTAGCCCATCTTCTTGAGCCGCTTGCGCCAATAGCGCACCTGCCGCCTGACCTCGCGCGGTGCCGTGCCGCCAAAGCTGGTCCGGCTCGCGACGGACTTCGTGACCGAGAGCACCGAGAACACATCGTCCGTGATGACCTCGTGGATCGAGCGAAGATCGTCCAGCGTCAGCTTTTCGAGACCGACCCCCCGCTCGGAGGCCAGCGCCACCGCACGGCCCGTCACGTGATGGGCTTCCCGGAAAGGCAGTCCGAGTTCGCGCACGAGCCAGTCGGCGAGATCTGTGGCGATGGAATAGCCCGACCCCGCCGCCTTCTTCATGGCGGCCTTGTTGACGGTCAGATCGGCCACCATGCCGGTCATCGCGGCAAGCGCCAGTTCGAGCGACTTGGCCGCATCGAACACCTGCTCCTTGTCCTCCTGCATGTCCTTGGAATAGGCCAGCGGCAGCCCCTTCATCACCGTCGACAGGGCGATCAGCGCGCCATTGATCCGCCCGGTCTTGGCCCGCACCAGCTCGGCCGCATCGGGGTTTTTCTTCTGCGGCATGATCGACGAGCCGGTCGAAAACGCATCCGACAGGGTCACGAAGCCAAATTGCGGTGTCGACCAGATCACGATCTCTTCGGCCAGCCGCGACAGATGCGTCGCGCAGATCGACGACGCCGACAGGAAATCGAGCGCAAAATCCCGGTCCGAGACCGTGTCGATGGAGTTGCGTGTCGGCTCGCGGAAACCGAGCGCGTCGGCGGTCATGTGCCGGTCGATCGGAAAGCCCGTGCCGGCCAGCGCCGCTGCGCCGAGCGGGCATTCGTCCAGCCGTTCCAGCGCGTCGCGAACCCGCGAAAGATCGCGGCCGAACATTTCCGCATAGGCCATCAGATGATGACCGAAAGTGACCGGCTGCGCCGTCTGAAGGTGCGTGAAGCCGGGCATCACGGTGCCGGCATGCTCCTCGGCCCGGTCGACGAAGGTGCCGATCAGCGTCTTGAGCGCGCTTTCGGTCTTCTTCAGTTCGGTCTTGACCCAGAGCCTGAAATCGAGCGCCACCTGATCGTTGCGCGAGCGCGCCGTGTGCAGGCGGCCCGCCGCAGGGCCGATCGTTTCGGCCAGCCGCGCCTCGATGTTCATGTGAATGTCCTCGAGCGCGCGCGAAAAAGTGAACGTTCCGGCCTCGATTTCCCCACGGATCGCGGTCAAACCGGCAATGATCGCGTCACGGTCGCCACTGGAAATGATACCGGTGGCTTCCAACATGGTGGCGTGTGCAATGGACCCGTCAATGTCCTGGGTGTAGAGCGCGCGGTCGAAATCGATCGATGCGTTGATCTCCTCCATGATGGCGGCGGGGCCGGAGGCGAAACGGCCGCCCCACATCAGGTTGGACGTTTCGTTTGCGTCGTTTGCAGGTTTGGATGAGCTGGACATGGACAATCCGTCCCCGGACAAGAATGAAAAAGGCTCGGCCCGCCGCTGGCCGCTGACGCTCGGCGTCTTCGTCGCGCTGGGCCTTGTGGCGGGCGCCGCCATCGGCGCTGCGCGGATATACGGGAGCGGTGGCGCCTCTGTCCATGCCGGTCAGGCCGCCAACGCGCAATGCACGGCGACGGCGGCCTATCAAGCGGCGATCGACCCGCTTCTGGCTGGCGACATGGCGGCGATGGCGATCCGCGACGAGCCCGAAAACCTGTCGAGCCTCGCTTTTAACGACAATGCCGGGACGCCCATCACGCTGGCCGACACGGGCGAAAAGCTGCGCCTTATCAATCTGTGGGCCACTTGGTGCGCGCCGTGCCGAGAGGAAATGCCCTGGCTCGAAACGCTGCAGCAGGAGCGCGGCGGCGAAGGTTTCGAGGTCGTGGCGATTTCCGTCGATGGCGGCTCGGACGACAAACCGCGCGCCTTTCTCGACGAGATCGGCGTGGACGGCCTTGCCTTTTATCACGACCCGACGATCGGCGTGTTCAACGCGCTCAAGCGCGACGGGCTGGCGTTCGGGCTTCCGGTGACGCTGCTGGTCGACGAGGCCGGCTGCGTGATCGCCAACATGAACGGCCCGGCCCATTGGTCGAGCCCCGACGCGTTTGCGCTGATAGACGGCGCGCTGGCGGCCCGGCCCGGCAGTTGAACGCCGGGCCACGTACCCGCTTCCCGCGCATTTCGTTAACGCGGACGCCCGCATCCGGCCTCCGAACATCGCCATGAATCGCTATGGTTGTATCCGGCAAGGGCAGCGACCCACCACATCTTGAGAGAACAAAGCGCCAACCTTGCCCAATCAGCGATTCGTCGCCGGTTCGTTCCCGCCCGGTTCCGAAAGTTAACGGAAAACGGCAAATCCGCGCCATTCATGGTTAACCAAGTGTAAACTTCATCGTTCAAATTCAAGCGGTTATCATCACGGCCCGTCACTTCGGCGCGCGCTGCCGCCAAAGGTTAACGCTGGGGCGCGTGACAGCCCCGTGACGCTTTCCACCGAATCTAGCCATGGTGGCCGCAAGGGCTCCGATCACCACATATGGTGGGGAACAAATGCACAACCCATGCGAGTCAGCGATTCGTCAGCGATTCGTTCCAGACTCGTTCCGGTTGTTAACGGCTGTGGACGAAAACCGGCGCGTCGAGCGCTGCAATTTGCCGTCCGCCATGGTATCGGCGCCACGCTCGCCCTATCTGCGCGGCACACGGAACACGATCTCTCATGCTCTCCCAAACGCGCACGCCATCGCCATCGCCATCGTCCGGAGACCCGGCGCAGAACGCGGTCTCGGGCCACGCGGTCACCGCAATTCTGGGGCCGACCAACACCGGCAAGACGCATTTGGCCATCGAGCGGATGGTCGCGCACTCGTCCGGCGTCATCGGCCTGCCGCTGCGGCTGCTGGCGCGGGAGGTCTATGGCCGCGTGGCCGAAAAGGTCGGCGCGGCCAGTGTCGCGCTGGTCACCGGCGAAGAAAAGATTGTGCCGGAAAAGGCGCGGTTCACCGTCTGCACCGTCGAGGCCATGCCGCGCGACCCCGATGCGGCCTTCGTTGCGATCGACGAGGTGCAACTGGCCGGCGATCTCGAACGCGGCCATATCTTCACCGACCGGCTGATGAATGTGCGCGGGCGCGAAGAGACGCTGCTTCTGGGCGCGGCGACAATCGCACCGCTGCTGCGCCAGCTTCTGCCGGGAATCACGATCACGGCGCGGCCGCGCATGTCGCACCTGTCCTATGCCGGGCCCGCCAAGCTGACGCGCCTGCCGCGCCGGTCGGCCATCGTCGCCTTCTCCGCCGATGAGGTCTATGCGGTGGCCGAACTGATCCGCCGGCAGCGCGGCGGCGCGGCGGTGGTGATGGGCGCGCTGAGCCCGCGCACGCGGAACGCCCAGGTCGAATTGTTCCAATCCGGCGATGTCGATTATCTGGTCGCCACCGACGCGATCGGCATGGGTCTCAATCTCGATGTCGACCATGTCGCCTTCGCGCAGCTTCGCAAGTTCGACGGCCGCACCTATCGCGACCTGACCCCGCCGGAGATGGCGCAGATCGCCGGACGCGCCGGCCGCCACATTCGCGACGGCACGTTTGGCGTTTCCTCGCGCGTTCCGCCGCTGGACGAAGAGCTGGTCCGGCGCATCGAGGGACACGATTTCCAGCCGCTGTCCGTCCTCCAATGGCGCAACCGCCGGCTGGACTTTTCATCGGTTGCCGACCTGAAGGCATCGCTCGATATCGTCCCGGCGCTTCCCGGCCTGACGCGGGCGCTTCCCGCCGTGGACCAGCGGGCGCTCGAATTCCTGTCGCGCGACGATGACGTGATGGGCCTGTGCGCCGACGAACGTGCCGTCGAACGGCTGTGGGACGTTTGCGCGCTGCCCGATTATCGCAAGATCGCGCCGGCCCAGCATGCCGACATCATCTCGTCGATCTTCCTCGATCTGGTCCGCACCGGCCATGTCGACGAGGACTTCATGGCCGAGCAGGTGCGCCGCGCCGACCGCACCGACGGCGAGATCGACACGCTGTCGCACCGGATCGCGCAGATCCGCACCTGGACCTACGTGTCGCACCAGCCCGGCTGGCTGGCCGACGCAGACCACTGGAAGGAACGCACGCGGCAGATCGAGGACAAACTCTCCGACGCGCTGCACGAGCGCTTGACGAAACGCTTCGTTGATCGCAGGACATCCGTGCTCATGAAGCGGCTCAAAGAGAACATGACCATGCAAGCGGAAATCAGCCCGTCAGGAGACGTGACCGTCGAAGGCCACCACATCGGCAAGCTGGACGGTTTCCGCTTCACCGCCGACCAGAGCGCGCAGGGCGAGGACGCCAAGGCAGTCCGCGCGGCGGCGCAAAAGGCGCTCGCCAGCGAGTTCGAGGCTCGCGCCGAGCGGTTCGCAGCCAGCCCGAACGGCGATCTGGCGATCGGCACGGATGGCCTGCTGCGCTGGCTCGGTGCCCCGGTGGGATCGCTCGCCGCCGGCGAAGACTGGCTGTCGCCGCGCCTGATCCTCTTGGCGGACGAGCAATTGAGCGGGCCGGCGCTGGACAAGGTGCGCGCCCGCGCTGAGCGCTTCGTCGCCTTCCATATCGAAACGCACCTCAAGCCGCTGACCGATCTCAAAAAGGCGGACGAATTGTCGGGCATCGCCCGTGGCATCGCGTTCCGGCTGATCGAGAATTTCGGCATCGTGCAGCGCCGCGACATCGCCGCCGACCTCAAATCGCTCGACCAGGACGGCCGCGCCGCGCTGCGCCGCTACGGCGTGCGGTTCGGCTTCTACCACATCTTCGTGCCGGCGCTGATCAAGCCGGCCCCTGCCGGCCTTGTGACGCTACTGTGGGCGCTGGCCACCGACACCCGTGACAAGCCCGGTTATGGCGAAGTGGTCACGCTGCTTGCCAGCGGTCGCACCTCGCTCCTCACCGACCAGGGCTATGACCGCGATTTCTTCAAGCTCGCCGGCTACCGGCATCTGGGCCCGCGTGCGGTGCGGGTCGACATTCTCGAACGGCTCGCCGACCTGATCCGCCCCTGCATCTTCTTCAAGCCCGGCGGCGATGCGCTGCCCGAGGGCGCGTACGGCGGTGGCCGGTTCGTCGTCACCCCGGCCATGCTGTCGATCCTCGGCGCAACGATGGACGACATGACGGAGGTGCTCAAGGCGCTGGGCTACCGGCACGAGGCGGTCGAAGCCGCCGATGCCGAACAGGCGCTCGAAGCTCTGCGCGCAAAACATGCGCCGGCGCCAGCCGAACCGGCACCCGAAGCGGCGACCGAGCCCGCCGCTGAAGACCCCGCTTCGGCCCCCGAGGCCACAGCAGCAACCGATGAGGCGGCCGATGAAGCGGCGCCCGATTCTGAAGCCGAACCGAATGCCGCAGCCGGCACGCCTGCCGATGGCGATCAGCCGGCACCGGTGGTCGAGCCGGCAGCCAAGAGCGGCGAGACGGAAACCCCCACAGCCGACACGGCTTCGGCGCCCGCAACGGACACCGCGGCGGAGACGGATACCGCAGGCACGGCGCCGGAAGAGACACCGGCAACCGCCACCGGCGCCGAAGCGGCACCCCAAGCGGAAACCGAACCGCCGGCACCTGTTCTGGTCTGGCGCCAGGGCCGTCCCGACCGGCCCGCCAATGCCCGCCATGGCCGCCGCGATCAGGATCGCAAGGCCGATGGTGGAAGGGGCGATGGCCAAAAAGGCAAACGTGCCGATGCCGGAGCCGGACGCCACAAGGGCAAGCGTCCGCCGCGCAACAACGGCCAGCAGGGTGGCGGACCGCGCGTGACCACCGCCAAACCGCCACGTCCGCGCGAGAAAGTGGCCGACCCGGATTCGCCGTTCGCCAAGCTGCAGGCGCTCAAGGACCGGCTCGACAAATGAGCGAACGGCCGCCGGCCGAACCCCGCCTGCCCGCTGCCGGCCCGGACCGGCAGCGCATCGACAAATGGCTGTTCTTCGCCCGCATCGTCAAATCGCGCTCCCTTGCCGCAAAGCTCGTCGGCGCCGGCGGCGTTCGCGTCAATGCCTCCAAGATCACCCAGCCGAGCCGCGCCGTTGCCGTCGGCGACGTGCTGACGATCGCCACCGACCGCCGCGTGCTCGTCTTGAAGATCCTCGATTGCGGAACACGGCGCGGCCCGGCGCCTGAAGCGCGGCTTCTTTACGACGATATCAGCCCGCCACCGCCCGAACGGCCGCTGTCGCCGCTCGACGGTGCCGTGCCGTTGCGCGAACGCGGCAGCGGACGGCCGACCAAGAAGGAGCGGCGCGCCATCGACAAGCTTGATCGCGACGGCGAACCATGGTGAAAGCCGGTGCCTGCGGCAAGTCGTCGCCACGAGCCGAAAGTCGCGTCCATGCCGACCCGTTTGGACCCGGCCGAGCCTTGTGCGCGATAACAAAACCTTTTACGTCAGCTTTTGCGGCGCGCAGATCTGGAGTGAGACCGTGACCTACATCGTGACCGACAATTGCATCCGCTGCAAATACACCGATTGCGTGGAAGTGTGTCCGGTCGATTGCTTCTACGAAGGCGAGAACATGCTCGTCATTCACCCCGACGAATGCATCGATTGCGGGGTGTGCGAACCGGAATGCCCGGCTGACGCGATCAAGCCCGACACCGAACCGGGTCTCGACAAGTGGTTGAAAGTCAACACCGAATACGCCGAAAAGTGGCCCAACATCACCATCAAGCGTGATCCGATGCCCGACGCGGACGCCTACGACGGCAAGTCCGGAAAGTTCGAGGAATTCTTCTCGGCCGAGCCCGGCGAGGGCGACTAGGCTGGTCGCCACCAGATGACGACATAGGCCGCCGGCTGGCGCGCAGCAGCGCCTGTTGCAGCGCACCATCGCATTAACCACATGGTTGACGAATTCTTACCGCAGCGCGACGCAGCCGGTCGCGGCGTTGAAAAAACCGCCGATTCATGCTATATGGTCAGATAATGTCGCTTTCCGCCACGATGCTCTGCGCCTTGCCGCGCATTTCCAAGAGGTCCTAAAGCCGGGTCAGATCGGTCGTCTCGTGGGTTTTCGCCCTCGACAACCGATGGTCTCCCGGCTTTGTCGTGCGCCTGCGTCATTGCCAATCGGCTCGCGCCGCAAACAAAGCCCGGCATGTGTCTCGTCCGGCAGGGAGTATGAAAAACATGGCATCTTCGCCCAAGAAAGCCTCGCAGCGCCAAGGGTTTCGGACCAACGAGTTCATCGTCTATCCCGCCCACGGTGTCGGCCAGATCACGGCCATCGAGGAACAGGAAGTCGCAGGCCACACGCTGGAACTGTTCGTTATCGAGTTCCAGAAGGACAAGATGCGCCTGAAGGTTCCGGTTGCAAAGGCGCTGTCGATCGGCATGCGCAAACTCGCCGAAGGCGGTTTCGTCGACCGCGCGCTCAAGGTCCTTCAGGGCCGCGCCCGCATCAAGCGGACCATGTGGTCGCGCCGCGCGCAGGAGTATGACGCCAAGATCAATTCCGGCGACCTGATCTCGATCGCCGAGGTCGTGCGCGACCTGTACCGCGCAGAGAACCAGCCGGAGCAATCCTATTCCGAGCGCCAGCTCTACGAGGCCGCGCTGGACCGCATGGCGCGCGAAATCGCGGCGGTGAAGAAGGTGTCGGAAACCGAGGCGGTGCGCCTCATCGAAACCAATCTCAAGCTTGGCCCTAAGCGGGCGAACAAGGCTGAAAACGACGAGGGCGGTTCGCAGGAACAGGCCGCCTGATCCGGCCAGCCCCGGTTCAGACCAGATCCATGACGCACCGGCGCGGCACATTCCGCGCCGGTTTTTTCGTGCCCGCAGCGCGGCGTTTTCGTCGCGCCAACCGGGCATTTTGTAACCTTGACGGCAATTTTTCTGCGTCCGGACTGAACCGGAGCGCCATCGGTGACGTAACCCTTCCAGTAGCGGGCTCAGAACCGCGCATGGGAGAGCATGATGAAGTCGGAACCGGCACGACGCGACATGGTCCGCATGGCCATGAATGCACCCTATCTGGAGCGCGATGAGGAACACGCTCTCGCAGTGCGCTGGAAAGACAACCGGGACCAGGAAGCGCTGCACCAGATTACCGTAGCCCACATGCGTCTGGTCATTTCGATGGCCTCCAGGTTCCGCAGCTTCGGCCTGCCGATGAGCGATCTCGTCCAGGAGGGCTATGTCGGCCTGCTCGAAGCGGCGGCCCGGTTCGAGCCGGAGCGCGAGGTCCGCTTTTCGACGTATGCGACGTGGTGGATTCGCGCCTCCATGCAGGACTATATCCTGCGCAACTGGTCGATCGTGCGCGGCGGCACCTCGTCGGCGCAAAAGGCCCTGTTCTTCAATTTGCGGCGGCTGCGCGCGAAGCTCAGCCGGTCCGGCGCGCCGGTCTCCAAGGCCGCGATGTACCGGCAGATCTCCGACGCGCTCGGTGTCGCAGAAAAGGATGTGGCGCTGATGGATTCGCGCCTGTCGGGCCCCGACACCTCGCTGAGCCAGCCGGTGGCGGACGACGAGAGCGCCACCTCGACGCGCATGGACTTCCTCGTCGACGATCGTCCGTTGCAGGACGAACTGGTCGAGGAGCACATCGACACCGAACGCCGCTCGGTATGGCTGCGCGAAGCGATGGATGTGCTCAACGAGCGCGAAATGCGCATCATTGCCAAGCGGCGCCTGGCCGAGAACGGCGCAACGCTTGAATCGCTGGGCATCGAACTCGGCATTTCCAAGGAGCGTGTCCGCCAGATCGAGAATCGCGCGCTGGAAAAGCTGCGTGCCGCGCTGATGCGCGACAATCCCGCCGTCGCCGCGACCTATGTCTGAAATCGGAGTGGTGTGACTACGCCGCCAGAGCCTCGGTCACCGCGCCGCGAATGTCGGCGAGCGTGAAGGGCTTGGATACAACGTCGATGACGATCTTCTCGACATCGGCGGCACGCTCGCGCTGTTCGGCATAGCCGGTCATCAGAAGGATGCGCAGATCGGGAAAGTCCTTCACCGCCGTCCGCGCCATGGCAATCCCGTCCATCGCCGGCATGCGGATGTCCGACAGCACCAGATCGTAGGCGCCCGACTTTTCGGCGATCCGCTCCAGCGCCAGATCGCCATCGTCGGCCTGGTCGACGTCATGGCCGTCCAGCGTCAGCGCGCGGGCGGTAAAGCTACGGACCGAATGATCGTCATCAACCACGAGAATCTGCGCCATCGGTCAGGCATCTCCTGTCACAACGCCCACAAAGGGCAGTTCACGGAAGGCATGGCCCACATCCATGCCGTAGCCGACCACGAAATGGTCGGGACATTCAAAGCCGGTGAAATCGGCATCGAGCGGCGTCTTGGCGCTGCGCCGTGTCCGCTTGTCCAGAAGCACGGCGATGGCCACCGAATTGGCATCGCGGTCCATCAGGATCTTTCGCGCGTGGGTCAAGGTGGTGCCGGACTCCAGGATATCGTCGATCAAAAGGACATCGCGGCCCTTCACGTCGCTGTCGATGTCGCGCAACATCTTGACCTCGCCCGCCTCGGTGCCCGCCCCATAGGCCGACAGCATCATGAACTCGACCTCGGGCGCCAGCCCCGCATCGTGCATGGCGCGAATGAGGTCGGCGGCGAAGATGAACGACCCTTTCAGGATCGAAATGACCAAGAGGTCCTTGTAGTCGCGCGCCGCGATCTCCTTGGCCAGCTCGAGATTGCGCCGGGCAATCGCCGAAGCGGAGAAGAGCACGTCGATACGCTTTCCTCGAACGATCTGCATGGGCTCAGCGGCGGGTGACAAGCGCGATTCGCGGTTCTGTCCCGGCATAGTCGCCCGCCGGAACGCGTGTTGTAAAGGCCATGCGCTCTCCAGGCGCGAGCCGTTCTCCGCGCGTGATCGTGTGGGTGACCGAGCCGGCGCCGTCCGAACGCTCGAAAGTGATGGCGACGGGCGGGACGATGCCCGCCACATCAAGCGCATTGGCAATCGTCGCATGGATCACGAAGACGGCGCGGCCGCCCGACGTGTCGATGCGGGTCGCGGTATCCTCGAGCACGATGCCCGATGGTGCCACCGGCTTCGTGATGGCGGCCGTTGCGGCAAACAGGGCGTGGCCGCCGGCGACATAGAAGGATGCGCAGGCGCTGAGCGTCGCGATGAATGCGAACATGGGCAGCGGCATCGGCTTGCGCGCGCCTGCCGGCCGGCGTTCGGCCGTGCGAAAGAGGCCCAGTCCGCGATCGGGCGCAGGGTCGGCGGGCCGGCGCGGTTTCCGCGCGGTCGGCGCCGCCGGCCCGACCGTTTCAAACTGCACGTCAACAATGTCGTCGCCGGAGGGAATCACCGCGCCACCGCCACCTCGATTGGGTCCATCTAGCGCCATCGGGGTTAACTGAACCTTGCGAAACGCAATGCCGGGCCGCACGAAACGCGCGGCAACAATCCTTGGTCATTTGCGCCCTTTGCGAAACAACCGTTGCGCCCTAACCTCGAATTGTCCCGGTGTGGGACCGCAACCGAGGAGACTGTCAATGCGGATGACGACCCTGTCCGTGGCAGCCGCGTTGTTTCTGGCTGGCGCGACCGCCGCATCGGCTTGCAACTGGAGCAAGCAGAGCGTGGCGCAGACACCCGTCGACTACAGCAAGGTGACCAAGGTGGAGGTGGCGCAAGCGCCGGTCGACGCCTGGCTCATCAAGTATTTGGACGCTTGGGAGAAAGCCTGAGCGCCTGTTTCCGGCCTCCAAGCACGAAAACCCGGCGGCCGATCTGGTCGCCGGGTTTTCTTTTTCGGAACACGTCAGAAATCGAAGCGGAACTTGCGGACAACGCCAAGCCGGACGCTGAACTGGTCGCGGCTGCCCACGGCGGTGACCGGCGACGAACCGGCATCGCCCGTCAGCCGGTCATAGCCCGCTTCGCCGATGATCGCCCATGAATTGTCGAAGTCCTGGCGCAAGCCGACCCCGACGCCATAGCTCTTGATGCCGCCATCGGCATTGAACGCGGCAAAGCCGGCGGTTCCGGCCGGAACGCTGAAATAGGTGTCCATGTAGCGATTGTCTGCATAGGAGATGCGCGGCCCGGCAGACACGCGCAAGCCTTCCATCGGACGCACGATCAGGTCAGCGCCCGCTTCGCCGGCCCAGCCCTCGTGACCGCCGAAACCGCGCCGCAAATTGGCGTGCAGACGAAAATACTCCGCCTCGTAGGAAATCTCCGCGCCGAACTCGATCGCCAGATCGACATCGGAAAGCCCGGTCAGCGCCGGCGTGTCGGCCGACTTGCGCGCGCCGCGAACGTTGAACGACGGCGAGACGGACAAGCCGCCACGATCGCGTCCGCCGATCTGAAAGCCGTTCGGCAGCGTCAGCCGGTTAATCTTGATCAGCGGCACCGGCGTGACGAGCATTTCCGAGGCGCCCTCATAGCGCGGCGCGACATTGGCCGCGGCACCGAGCTCGAACTCGATACCGGGAGGCGCCGACGCGCCATAGTCATCGGCGGCCTGTGCCGTTGTTGCCGGCACGGCGACGGTGACGGCGGCGGCGAATGCCACGGCGGAGAAAGAACGAATGGCGGTCATCTGGATTTCCGTTTCGACACAGGAACGCGACACATGGGACGTGTCTCACCACATACGGCCGCAGCGAGCCTTTGGATGTCTACCCGATCAGGAACGGTCGGCAAAGTTACAATCCGTTCATCGCACCGATCGGCCATGCCGTAGTCGGCCAAAGCATGCCGGATCGCCTGAACCGCCCTATAGCCGGCTCAGACAGGCTTGCAGGATCAGCCGATGAAACGGCAGGATGGTCGCGAGATAGGCGCGGCCCAGCCGGTTGTGCCGGCGGATCAGGGTGGTCACCGTAACGGTCTGCTGGCCGTCGGCCTCATCGAGATCGAGCACACAGCGAAAATCGAGATGCCTGTCGTCCATGCCGACGACAACCCGGTCGCCTGAATCATCGCGCACCGCGAACAACCCGATCCTGTCCGCAGGCGCAAGGCCGCGGTTTGACAGGCCGCTCTTGAGACCGAAGGGCGCGACGGCCAGCGTCCGCAGACCCATCAGCGGCCCCACCCAGCCCGGTGTCGCCCGGTGTACGGCTTCGGCCGCCTGTCTTGCGGTGTCGAACCGTCGGCGCGGGGTTGCGGTCCAGGCATCGGCCCAGTCGGCACCGGACAGCGCCGGATGCGGCAGCGTCACGGTGCGTTCGGTCGCCGATCCGGGCATGGCATGGCTCACATGTGCAGCGGTTTGCCGGTGCTCGTGGCAAGCGCAGCCTCGCGCACGGCTTCGCTCATGGTCGGGTGGGCGTGGCAGGTGCGCGCCAGATCCTCCGAAGAGCCGCCGAATTCCATCAGCACCGCGCATTCGTGGATCAGGTCGCCGGCGCCCTTGCCGACGATATGCACGCCCAGAACCCGGTCCGTCGCCTTGTCGGCCAGCATCTTGACGAAGCCGTCCGTGGCCAGCATGGCGCGGGCGCGGCCGTTGGCGGAGAAGGGGAACTTGCCGACGACGTAATCGGCGCCCTCGGCCTTCAATTCGTCCTCGGTCTTGCCGACGGAGGCGACTTCCGGCTCGGTGTAGACCACCGACGGGATGACGCCGTAATTGACGTGGCCGGCCTGGCCGGCGATCCGTTCGGCAACCGCCATGCCCTCGTCCTCGGCCTTGTGGGCAAGCATCGGTCCCTTGACCACATCGCCAACCGCCCAGACGCCGGTCACCGATGTTTGCCAGTGCTCGTTGATCTCGACGCGGCCGCGATCGTCCAGGACGACGCCCGCCTTCTCGAGGCCGAGCCCCTCCGTGTAGGGCTTGCGGCCCGTTGCGACGAGCACGACGTCGGCGTTCAGCGTTTCGGCGTCACCGCCCTTGACCGGTTCGAAAGTGACTTTGCCGCCTTTGCCGGCCTTTTGCACGGCGGTAACCTTGGCGCCGAGCTTGAAGGCAAGCCCCTGTTTGGCCAGCATCTTCTGGAACTGGCGCGCGACATCGCTGTCCATGCCGCCAAGGATCGTGTCGAGATATTCGACCACGGTGACCTCGGCGCCGAGCCGCGCCCAGACCGAGCCCAGTTCCAGTCCGATCACGCCGCCGCCGACGACGATCATCTTGCCCGGCACCTTGGCAAGCGACAGCGCGCCCTCCGACGACACGATCACCTTCTCGTCGAATTCCACGTCGACGCCGGGAATGCCGGCGACATCCGATCCGGTGGCGATGACGATGTTCCTGGTCTCGATCTCCTCGACCTTGCCGTCATCGCCGGTGACGGCCACCTTGCCCTCGCCGAGTACCGAACCGGTGCCTTTTTTGACGTCGATCTTGTTCTTCTTCATCAGGAAGGAAACGCCGTCGACATTGGATTTCACCGTGGCATCCTTGTGCGCCATCATCGCCTTGAGGTCGAGCTTCGGCGTGCCGACATCGACGCCCAGCGTCTTGTGGCTGTGCCCGGCCTCGTGAAAGATGTCGGAGGCGTGCAGCAGCGCTTTCGACGGAATGCAGCCAATGTTCAGGCAGGTGCCGCCGAGCGTCGGCCATTTCTCGACGATCGCCGTCCGCAGGCCCAGCTGGGCCGCCTTGATCGCGCACACATACCCGCCCGGTCCCGAGCCGATCACCACAACATCATAAGCCATCTTGCATCCCTCCGCAGTTCGCTGCGGGTCCTTCCTGTCGTAATCAGCCCGTCAAAGATCGAGCACGAAGCGCTCGGGATCTTCCAGGCTCTCCTTGACGCGCACCAGGAACGTCACCGCTTCCTTGCCGTCGACGATCCGGTGGTCGTAGCTGAGCGCCAGATACATCATCGGCCGGATCACCACCTCGCCATTGATCGCGACGGGCCGCTCCTGGATCTTGTGCATGCCCAAAATGCCCGATTGCGGCGCATTGAGGATGGGCGAGGACATCAGCGAGCCGTAGACGCCGCCATTGGAGATGGTGAACGTGCCGCCCTGCATGTCGGCCATCGACAGGTTGCCGTCGCGCGCCGCCTTGCCGAGCCGGCCGATCTCAAGCTCCACCTCGGCGATCGACATCCGGTCCGCGTCGCGCACCACCGGCACGACCAGCCCCTTGTCGGTGCCCACGGCCACGCCGATATGGGCATAATTCTTGAAGATGATGTCGGTGCCGTCGATCTCCGCGTTCACCGACGGTATCTCCTTGAGCGCGTGGGTCACCGCTTTCGTGAAGAAGCCCATGAAGCCCAGCTTCACATCGTGCTTCTTCTCGAACAGATCCTTGTACTTCCTGCGCATCGCCATCACGGCGCTCATGTCCACCTCATTGTAGGTGGTCAGCATGGCGGCCGTGTTCTGCGCATCCTTGAGCCGCCGCGCGATGGTCTGGCGCAGCTTCGTCATGCGCACGCGTTCTTCGCGCACCTGGTCGTCGGCGCTCGACGGCGGGCGCGCCGCCTGCGGCGCGGGGCTTGGCGCCGGTGCGGCCTGGCCGCCCTTGGCCACCGCCTCCAGCACATCGGACTTCAGCACCTGGCCGCGCTTGCCCGAGCCGTCCACCTGATCGGCGGACATGCCCTTTTCTTCCATCATCTTCGCGGCCGACGGCGCCGGCGGCATGTCGCCCTTTGCATCCTTCATGCCCGGCGATTCGGTCTCCGATCCCGAAGGCGCCGGTTCGGGCGTCGCGTCGGTCTCCTCGTCCTTTTTGGCGTCGGCGGTCTTGCCCCCGGAATCCGCAGCCGCCCCGGCGCCGTCGCCCTCGGTCAGCATGCCCAGAAGCGCGTCCACCTCGACCGTGTCGCCCTCATTGGCGACGATCTCGCCCAGCGTGCCGGCGCCAGGCGACGGCACCTCCAGCGTCACCTTGTCGGTTTCCAGTTCGACCAGCGTCTCGCCGTCGGCGACCGCGTCGCCGGGCTGCTTGAACCATTGGCCGATGGTGGCCTCGGTGACCGATTCACCGAGCGTCGGTACGCGGATTTCTTTTGCCATTTCGGTCTTCCCCGGACTTTGAAAGTCAGTCAGTTAGCTTGTGTCACTTTTCTCAATCGCCCAGCGCATCCTCGAGGAACGCGGCGAGCTGTGCCTTGTGCGTGCTCATCACACCGGTGGCCGTCGATGCGGCGGCCGGCCGGCCGGTGTAGCGCACGCGCGCGTGCTTGGCGTTGATGTGGGCCAGCACCCATTCCAGATACGGATCGATGAATGCCCACGCGCCCATGTTCTTGGGCTCTTCCTGGCACCAGACCATCTCGGCATTCTTGAACCGCGACAGTTCGGTGATCAGCGCCTTTGCCGGGAACGGGTAAAGCTGTTCGACCCGCAACAGATAGACATCGTTGATGCCGCGCGCTTCACGCTCCTCGTAAAGGTCGTAATAGACCTTGCCCGTGCACAGCACGACGCGGCGGATCTTGGAATCGGTGACCAGCTTGATCTCCGATTCATCCTTGCGATATTCGGCATCGTCCCACAACAGCCGGTGGAACGCGCTCTCGCCGGACATCTCGGCCAGCGTCGATGTCGCCCGCTTGTGCCGCAGCAGCGATTTGGGCGTCATCAGGATCAGCGGCTTGCGGAACTCGCGCTTGAGCTGGCGCCGCAGGATGTGGAAATAGTTCGACGGCGTGGTGCAGTTGGCGACCTGCATGTTGTCCTCGGCGCACATCTGCAGGAAGCGCTCGAGCCGCGCCGACGAATGTTCGGGGCCCTGGCCCTCATAGCCGTGCGGCAAGAGGCAAACGAGGCCCGACATGCGCAGCCATTTGCGCTCGCCCGACGAGATGAACTGGTCGAACAGCACTTGCGCGCCATTGGCGAAGTCGCCGAACTGGGCCTCCCACAGCGTCAGCGCGTTCGGCTCGGCCAGCGTATAGCCATATTCGAAGCCGAGCACCGCCTCTTCCGACAGCATCGAATTGATGACCTCGTAGCGGCCCTGGCCGGCCTTGATGTCGTTGAGCGGCGTGTAGCGGGCCTCGGTCTCCTGATCGTAGAGCACCGAATGGCGCTGCGAAAACGTGCCGCGCTCGCAGTCCTGACCCGATAGCCGCACGCCCTGCCCGTCGAGCAGGATCGAGCCGAACGCCAGTGCCTCGGCGGTCGCCCAGTCGATGCCCTCGCCGCTTTCGATCATCTTGGCGCGATTGTCGAGGAAGCGCTGGATGGTCCGGTGGACGTTGAAGTCCTTCGGGATTGTGGTGAGCTGCTTGCCGATTTCCTTGAGCGTCTTGAGCGGCACATTGGTCTTGCCGCGGCGCCGCTCATCCTCATTGTCGGCGCGCTGAAGGCCCGACCATTTGCCGTCCAGCCAGTCGGCCTTGTTGGGCTTGTAGTCATCGCCGGCCTGGAATTCGATCTCCAGCTTCTCGCGCCAGTCGGTCTTCATCTTCTCGACATCATCGACCGCCACATGGCCTTCGGAGATCAGCTTGTCGGAATAGATCTGCACCGCCGTTTTGTGCTTGCGGATCGTCCGGTACATGATCGGCTGCGTGAAGGCCGGCTCGTCGCCCTCATTGTGGCCGAACCGCCGGTAGCAGAACATGTCGATGACCACCGGCTTGTGGAACTTCATCCGGAATTCGATCGCCACCTTGGCCGCATAGACGACCGCTTCGGGGTCGTCGCCGTTCACATGGAAGATCGGCGCCTCGATCATCTTTGCGACGTCGGACGGATAGGGCGAGGAGCGCGACAGATAGGGGTTGGTGGTAAAGCCGATCTGGTTGTTGATGATGAAGTGGATCGAACCAGCCACCCGGTGGCCGCGCAGGGCCGAAAGGCCGAGGCACTCGGCGACCACGCCCTGTCCGGCAAATGCCGCATCGCCGTGCAGCAGCAGCGGCAGCACCTCGGCGCGGTCCTCCAGCGGAACGATCTCCGGACGGTGCGCCCCGCCCGCCAGTTGGTCCTGCTTGGCGCGCGCCTTGCCGAGCACCACCGGATTGACGATCTCCAGGTGCGACGGGTTGGCCGTCAACGACAGGTGGACGCTGTTTTCGTCGAACTGGCGGTCCGACGAGGCGCCGAGGTGATATTTGACGTCGCCCGAGCCCTCCACATCGTCGGGCACGAACGAACCGCCCTTGAATTCGTTGAAAAGCGCCCGATGCGGCTTGCCCATCACCTGGGTCAGGACGTTCAGCCGGCCCCTGTGCGCCATGCCGAACACGATGTCCTTGAGGCCGAGCTGGCCGCCGCGCTTGATGATCTGCTCGAGAGCCGGGATCAGGGATTCGCCGCCGTCGAGACCAAAGCGCTTGGTGCCCTTGTACTTGACATCGATGAACTGTTCGAAGCCCTCCGCCTCGATCAGCTTCTGCAGGATCGCCTTCTTGCCGTTCGGCGTGAATTCGACACCCTTGTCCGGCCCCTCGATGCGCTGCTGGATCCACGACTTCTCCTCCGGATGGGAGATGTGCATGAACTCGACCGCCATCGTGCCGCAATAGGTGCGCTTGAGGATGTCGAGCATTTGCGGGATCGTCGCATATTCGAGCCCGAGCACATGATCGATGAAGATCGGCCGGTCGTAGTCGCTCTCCTGGAACCCGTAGGAGGACGGATGCAGCTCGTTATAGTCCTCCTTGTGACCCGCAAGGCCGAGCGGGTCGAGATCGGCGTGCAGATGGCCGCGCATGCGGTAAGCGCGGATCATCATGATCGCCCGCACCGAATCGCGCGTCGCGCGCACCAGTTCCTCGCTGGAGATGCCGCCGGCCGTCTGCGCCTTTTCGGCGATCTTGCCGTTCATGTGGGCTTCGACTTCGCCCCAGTCGCCGTCGAGCGCCGATGTCAGCTCGCCATTGGCCGGGATCGGCCAGTGATCGCGTTCCCATGACGGGCCTTCGGCGGTCTTGATCACATCGTCGCGATTGTCGGCCAGCCCTTCGAAGAACTCCCGCCATTCAGCCGACACAGAAGCGGGGTCCTCCTCGAAGCGTGCCTGCATCTGCTCGATGTAGAGCGCATTGCCGCCATAAAGGAACGACGTTCCGGCGAAGATGTCGTTGGCCTGGTCCTTGCGTGCCATTTCAACTCCTTCAAGCGTTTCCGCTTTCTCCCAAAAGCCACGTTTCAGCCCAGCGCGATGGCAAAGGCGGCCGTGTCGTTGTGCACCTGATAACGGGCAATGAGCCCGTTCTTGATCTTGAATATATTGACAACGCGAGCGTTGACGTTCCTGCCGTTGCTGCGGATCGTCCACCGCCCCTTCAAGACCGTGATGAACGCATCCCCGGTCTCAAAAGTCTCGGTCACATCGACCCGCTCGACACTCAGATGCTCGCCAACCGTCCTGAAGAATGCCTGCAACTGATCCGGACCCTTCCATTCACCGGACCATGGCAGCACACCGTCGGGCGCAGGATAGTCAATGACGACATCCGGCGTGGCTGCGGCACGCAAGGCTGCCCAATCGCCGGCCTTGATGGCCGCGTACCAGTTTTCGACCGCGATGGGCGTCCTGTCGGTCAATACGTTACCCCTTCAGCACCTCGACCAGCGTCTTGCCGAGCTGTGCCGGCGATGGCGAGACGCGGATGCCCGCATCCTCCATCGCCTTGATCTTGTCTTCGGCGCCGCCCTTGCCGCCCGAGATCACCGCGCCCGCATGGCCCATGGTGCGTCCGGGCGGTGCGGTGCGGCCGGCGATGAAGCCGACCATCGGCTTCTTGCGGCCGTTGGCCGCCTGCTCCTTGAGCCATTCGCAGGCATCTTCCTCGGCGCTGCCGCCGATTTCGCCGATCATGATGATCGATTCCGTTTCCGGATCGTCGAGGAACAGGTCGAGCATGTCGATGAACTCGGTGCCCTTGACCGGGTCGCCGCCGATGCCGACCGCCGTCGACTGGCCGAGCCCCTCATTGGTCGTCTGGAACACCGCCTCATAGGTCAGCGTACCCGAGCGCGACAGGATGCCGACCGAACCCTTCTTGAAGATGCGGCCCGGCATGATGCCGATCTTGCATTCCTCCGGCGTCAGAACGCCGGGGCAGTTCGGGCCGATCAGGCGCGACTTCGACTTGTCGAGCTTCGCCTTGACCTGGACCATGTCCATCACCGGAATGCCCTCGGTGATGCAGATGATCAGCGGGATCTTCGCGTCGATCGCCTCGATGATCGCCGCGGCGGCGCCCGCCGGCGGTACATAGACGACCGAGGCGTTGGCGCCGGTCGCCTTCTTTCCCTCGGCGACCGAGGCAAAGATCGGCAGTTCGGTGCCGGCCTTTTCGCCGGCGCCCTCACCGGCCGTCCATGTCTCGCCGCCCTTCTTGGGATGGATGCCGCCAACCATCTGCGTGCCGAAGTAGGCCAGCGCCTGTTCGGTGTGGAAGGTGCCGGTCTTGCCGGTCAGGCCCTGAACCAGAACCTTGGTGTCTTTGTTGATCAGGATGGACATGGATTTCAGTTCCCCTCGACGGCCGCGACGATCTTCTGTGCGGCGTCGTCCAGATCGTCCGCAGCGATGACGTTCAGCCCGCTTTCATTGATGATGGCCTTGCCCTGATCGACGTTCGTGCCCTCGAGGCGCACGACCAGCGGCACTTCAAGGCCGACTTCCTTGACGGCTGCAACCACGCCTTCGGCGATCACGTCGCAGCGCATGATGCCGCCGAAGATGTTGACCAGAATGCCTTTGACGTTCGGGTCTGCGGTGATGATCTTGAACGCCGCCGTCACCTTTTCCTTGGACGCGCCGCCGCCGACATCGAGGAAGTTGGCGGGCTCGGCGCCATAGAGCTTGATGATGTCCATGGTCGCCATGGCGAGCCCCGCGCCGTTGACCATGCAGCCGATATTGCCGTCGAGCGCGACATAGGCGAGATCGTGCTTGGACGCCTCGATCTCCTTGTCGTCCTCTTCGGTCACATCGCGCAGTTCGACGATGTCGTCGTGGCGGAACAGCGCATTGTTGTCGAACGACACCTTGGCGTCGAGCACGCGCAGATGGCCGTCCTTCATGACGATCAGCGGGTTCACTTCCAGAAGGCTCATGTCTTTCTCGGTAAATGCCTTGTAGAGCGTCGGAAACAGCTCCAGCCCGTCCTTGGCCGCCTGCTTGGTCAGCTTCAGCGCCCGGTTGAGCTTCTTGGCATCGGCTTCGGTCATGCCCTTGGCCGGATCGATCGGCAGCGTGGTGATCTTGTCCGGCGTTTTTTCCGCGACCGCCTCGATATCCATGCCGCCCTCGGTCGAGACGACAAAGGCCGGCCGGCCCGTCGTCCTGTCGATCAGGATCGACAGATAGAGCTCCCGGTCGATGTCGGCACCGTCCTCAATGTAGAGGCGGTTGACCTGTTTGCCGGCGGGGCCGGTCTGCTTGGTGACCAGCGTGTTGCCGAGCATTTCCTTGGCGTTCTCGACCACTTCCTCGACCGAGTTCGCCAGCCGCACGCCGCCCTTGGCGTCATCGCCCAGTTCCTTGAACTTGCCCTTGCCGCGGCCGCCCGCATGGATCTGGCTTTTGACCACATAGAGCGGTCCGGGCAGCTTCTGCGCCCATTCCTCGGCCTGCTCGACCGAATAGACGGCAACCCCGGCCGCCACCGGCGCGCCGTAGGAATGCAGAAGGCGCTTGGCCTGATATTCATGAATGTTCATTGCGTCTGCCTTTGATCAAGCGTGGGTTTCATTGGCCTTCCGGCACGATGGAATTGAAGCTGCGGGCGAAACTGTCCTCGGGCCCGATGGCGGCCGGCATGTCGGTACCGCAGGCGAAACGGGTCGCCATGGCGGCCGCACCGCGCGCCACGCCATTGGCCTGTTCGACCTTGGCGTCGATGACGGCAACGACGCAGCCCGGCACAGCTTCGGTGCCGACCCGCGAGACGACCAGCGCTTGCCCCTTGTCTTCCGGCCCGCCCGTCATGCCCGTATCGATGAAAAAGCGCAGGATCGCGGCATGCGGCTCGCCGTCCGCGACACGCCATTCGACAGTCTCGCCGACCGAATTAAACGGGCCGAAGCTCTCCCACCGGTCGTTGGGCACGCCATAATCGACATCGAAGCGCAAATCGCCCTCCGATGCGAAGACCGGATGGCCCGGCAGCCCGTCGCATTGCAGCGAAATGCCGCCGGACTCGTCATCCTGGTCCAGCACCGCACAGGCATCGAGATCGAGCGTGGTGTAGACGCTTTCGGCGGCGTGCGCATGGCCTGCCGCCAGAAGCCACACGCCAGCGAGCAGCAACGCTGCCGCGTGCCGTGGCCCGTTCTGCCCCCGATGTTGCTCGCCTGGCACTGCTGGTTTCCGGCCCGCTGCTATTTCAGGTTCGGCGCGATGTTTGAGCAGGCCTCGCACAGACCCGCCACCGACGCCACCGACTTGTCGAACATCTTCTGCTCGGTCTTGTTCAGATCGATCTCGATGATGCGCTCGACGCCCCCGGCGCCGATCACGGTCGGCACGCCGACATACATGTTCTTGACGCCATATTGGCCGTTCAGATGGGCGGCACAGGGCAGGACGCGTTTCTTGTCCTTCAGATAGCTCTCGGCCATCGCGATCGCCGACGAGGCGGGCGCGTAATAGGCCGAACCGGTCTTCAGAAGGCCGACAATCTCCGCGCCGCCGTCACGCGTGCGCTGGACGATAGCGTCGAGCTTTTCCTTGGTGGTCCAGCCCATCTTCACAAGGTCGGGCAGCGGAATGCCGGCAACGGTCGAATAGCGGGTCAGCGGCACCATGGTGTCGCCATGGCCGCCAAGCACGAACCCGGTGACATCCTCGACCGAGACGTCGAACTCCTCGGCCAGGAAGTGGCGGAAGCGCGCCGAATCGAGCACGCCGGCCATGCCGCATACCTTGTTCTTGGGCAGGCCCGAGAACTGCTGCAATGCCCAGACCATCGCGTCGAGCGGGTTGGTGATGCAGATCACGAACGCATCGGGTGCATATTTCTTTATGCCTGCGCCCACCTGCTCCATCACCTTGAGGTTTATGCCGAGCAGATCGTCGCGGCTCATACCCGGCTTGCGGGGCACGCCGGCGGTGACGATGCAGACATCGGCACCCTTGATCGCCTCGTAGGAGTTGGCACCGACATACTTTGCGTCGAAGCCGTCGACCGGGGCGGATTCGGCGATGTCGAGCCCCTTGCCCTGCGGGATCCCGTCGGCAATGTCGAACAGCACCACATCGCCCAGCTCCTTGAGGCCGATCATGTGTGCAAGCGTTCCGCCGATCATGCCGGAACCGATGAGTGCGATCTTGTTGCGTGCCATTAGCGGTTTTCCCGTTTGTCGCCTTTGTTGTGTTGAACGGGAATGCGCCCCGCCGCTGCGTGGCCCCTCCCCCGATCAGGACTACCGCGTGGCCCATGGGCCCCGAAAAATCAACCAAAACTTTCGTAATCAATGATTTCAATGGCTTGGGTTTTACGGGTCTTACGTAAACGTAAAACACAACCGCATCGGGCGATGATCGACGCCGCGATCCGGCCCGAACGCCGGAAACCCGTCGCCCACAGCAAAGCACGGGTCCGCCCTTCGGCAAATTCAACTTTGGATAGTTGTGATGTCACCGGCCAGGCAGATGTCACCGGTCAGGCACAAGAGGCGACGGGTCACGAAGCCGCCGCCATCGGCTTCTTCGCCGCGATCCAGTCATCCGAGCGCATCTCGACCAGCCGCGATGCCGTGCGGTCGAACTCGAACGCTTCGGTGCCCGACTTTGCCCGATAGAGTTCGTGCGGATGGGCGGCCGCGGAGACCACCAGCTTGTTGCGATTGTCATAGAGCGTGTCGATCAGCGTGATGAAGCGCTTGGCCTCGTTGCGCTTGCCGTCGCCGATCACCGGCACGTTTTCGACCATCAGCGTGTGATACTGCCGGGCAATGGCGAGGAAATCGCGCGCGCCGAGCGGCGCCTCGCACAGGTCGGCGAAAGCAAAGCGCGCCGCGCCCATCGCGGCGGCCGGAACCGGCACGCTGCGGCCCTTGACCGCGACCTGGGCGGGCGGCGAGGCGATGCCGCCGGTGATCTTCACCCAGGCCGCCTCCATCGCCATCTCGGTCTCGGGTCCGAGCGGCGTCATGTAGAGCGGCGTGTGCGACAGCCGGCCAAGCCGATAGTCGCGATCCGCATCGAGGCTGAACACGTCGACATGGGCGGCCAGAATGTCGAGAAATGGCGTGAACAGGCCGCGATTGAGCCCGTCCTTGTAGAGTTCGGACGGCGGCACGTTCGATGTGGCGACCAGCACCACGCCGCGCTCGAACAGCGCGGCAAACAGGCGCGACAGGATCATCGCATCGGCGATGTCGGTCACCGTGAACTCGTCGAAACACAATATGCGCGCTTCGTCGGCGATCGCCCGCGCCACCGGCGGTATCGGATCGTCGCCCTTGACCGTTCCCTCCTTGAGCGCCGCGCGATGGGCGCCGATCCGGTCGTGCACGTCGGCCATGAAATCGTGGAAATGGGCCCGGCGCTTGCGCTTGGCGGGGCAGGCGCGGAAGAAGAAGTCCATCAGCATGGTCTTGCCGCGGCCAACCGAGCCGTGGATGTAAAGACCGTGCACCTGGTTGAATTTCGGCGCCTTCTTGGCGAACAGCCACCCGAGCGACGAGGATTTCGACGCCAGCCGCATCGAGCCGATCTGCGTGTTCAGCGCGTCAAGACGATTGGCCAGCGCGTGCTGCGCCGCATCGTCGCTGATCGCGCCCTCGCGCACCAGTTCGCGATAGCGCGAGGCAACCGAATCGCCGGGGCGGATCCTGTCGGGCATCGCCGGTCGCGGTCCCGTCCTTTGCGTGCCTACCGGGCCAGGCTGATGGCCCGGCCGCTGGTCGTCTGGCCGTCGAAGCGGTCGCTGCCCGAAGAAAACAGGGTGGCGACGCGATTGCCCCCCGAATCGCTGAGAACCACCTGATTGCCGTTGATGGTCCACGACGACACGTTCGCCGCATCGCCCGGGCAACCGCGCGAGGCAGCCCTGAAGCCCGTCGACCAGCGCGTCAGCGCCATGAACATCTGGCAGTTCGCGCCTTCGGTCGACACGCGCCACGCGCCGACCATCGCCTCGCGGGTCACCGGCTCGGCCGATGCCACCTGCTGGATGCTGGTCGGGTCCGCGTTCGGATCGGTGGCATCGGCCGTGTCGGCGTCGAGCGTCGGATCGGTGCCGGCCACGACCGTACCGCCCGGTGCGACCGGGAAACCGTCAGGCCCCAGCACCGGCGCGCCAGCACCCGCGCCGGGCTGCGAGGGTGGCGGCAACTGTCCGCTGGTCACGGTGCCGGCCGGCGCCGGGTTCAGCGGTGCCGGCTGCGTGTTCAACGCGCCGATCCGGTTGCTCGTGCAGCCCGACAAGGCGACTGCCGCCAATGCCGCGGCCGCGATCGGGCCCGCAAGGTTCCTGCCCGAAACGTTCCTGCCCATGTCCCATCTCCACTTGCGCGGCATGCGTTTGTTCGCGCCGCGATTGCGCCCTTCCTCGTCCAATAAAACGGCCAAAGAAAGAAAAAACAAGCTTAACAGCCGCTTGGCCGTTTCACTTGCACGACCTTCGTGACAATTCGGTCACGGCGCGCGAGCTGCCCGGCGCCATGCCGCCGGGTTGACCCGTGTCAAAGCCCGGCGGTCGAAGACATGCTGTTGCATTCGTCCCAAGGCAGGAAACGGGGACAGGGGCAATGCCGGTTATTCGTCAAGCGGAACGTTGCGGCCAGCGGGGACGGCGTTCATACGTCGCCGCGATGCTGCTGCTTGTGATGGGGCTTGGTATCAGCGGATGTTCGACGACCGCCGAGCCGTCCGTCGCCGATGAGGCCGGAAAACCCGGTGCGGTCACCGACACCTGCTGCGCCGATCCCGAGCGGTTTCCACCGCTTCTGGTCAATGTGCTGGCTCCCGGCGCGCCCGTCCTGGGCCGCGTCACCGCCAACATGACCGGCCGGCATGGCTACCTGCATGAGGACGAGGCGGCCATCGCGCACCTGATGGCCGTCGTCCAGCCGCTCGATGTCATCCTTGTCGGCGCCAAGGGGCGCATGAGCCACAACATCATTCCGGGCGCTTTCGCCCATGTCGCGGCCCGGCTGGGCGATGAGCGGGCGCTGCAGCGGTTCGGCGTCTGGAACGATCCGGCGGTGGTTCCTCACCGCGATGCGGTGAAGGCCGGGGCCGGCTTCATCGAATCCGATCAGCGGGGCGTTCATCTATCGACGCCGCGGACCGTGTTCGATGTCGACCGGGTGGTGATATTGCGGCCAACCGGTCTTGCACCGGGCGACCGGGCCGGCAAACTGGTCGACTTTTTCGGCCATGTCGGCACACGCTTCGACTTCCACTTCAACGCCGATGACGACACCTGCCTGTTCTGCGCCGAACTGGTCAATCATGTCATGCCGGAAGCCGGCTTGCCGAAACGGCGCATCTACGGACGCACGATGATCCTGCCCGACGAGATCGCCTCCGCCGCCCTGCGGGGCCGGGCGCCGCTGGAACTGGTCACCTATGTGCGCGGTACGCGCCAGGGCTGGACGATAGGCGATGCCGACCAGTTGCGGGCCGATCTCGAAGCCGCCTGGTCGCCATGAGACCACAAGCGAGGGCGGGGCCATAGACCCCGCCCCTGCGTGACCGGAAAGGCGGGGCTTATTCGGCCGCCGCTTCCTTGGTCTCTTCCTCGGCGGGAGCCTCCGCCGGGGCTTCTTCGGCGGGAGCCTTGGCTTCTTCCTCGGCCGCCTTTGCCGCTTCGGCGGCTTCCTCTTCCTTCATGCGCTGCTCTTCAAGACGCTCCTGCGCCTTCTTGCCGGGCTTGGCCTTGTTGGGGTTGTTGCGCGCCTCGCGCTTGGCGATGCCGGCCTCGTCGAGGAAACGCATAACGCGATCGGTCGGCTGCGCGCCGACGCCGAGCCAATGCTTGACGCGTTCCTCGTCGAGCGTCACGCGCTTGGCCTCGCCGTCCTTGGGCAGCATCGGGTTCCACGCGCCGACGCGCTCGATGAAGCGGCCGTCGCGCGGCGAGCGCACGTCGGCGACGACGATGTGGTAGTAGGGGCGCTTCTTGGAGCCCGCACGGGCCAGACGCAGTTTCAGTGCCATGGTGTTTCTCCTGTCGGTTCAAATGGCGTTGGAATGATGATGATCGGTGCGCCGAACCAGATCGACGCCGGTTTCGCCGGCGGCGATGGCATCGTGGTGGCGCATGACATGGTCGATGACGAAACGCAGATAGGCTTCCGCAAAGTCGGGGCTGAAACCGGCTTCTCGCGCCAGCCCGCGCAGCCGGTCGGCCTGTTCGGCCTCGCGCACCAGATCGGCCGAGGGCAGATCGTGCTCGGCCTTGAGCCGGCTGACGGTCTCGGTGCAGCGGAAACGCTCGGTCAGCATGTAGACGATCGCCGCGTCGATATTGTCGATCGACGCGCGCTGGACGGCCAGCAATGAGCGGGCACGTTCGATGTCATCGTCCTTGTCGTGCATGGTTTCCTTGTCCGTGAGCTTTTCAGGCGGCGCGGCGCGCCTCATGCGGCGCCCTTGCGCGCCAGAACCTGCGCCGGCGGCAGATGGCGCCAGACATCGGCGGTGAAATCCCAGATCGGAACGCTTTCGCGTTCCTTGGAGGCGCCAAGTCTGCGCGCCACGCCTTGCGAAGCCGTGTTGGCCGGGTCGATCACGCTGATCGCCGTGTCCCAGCCCAGTTCGTCATAGGCAAAACGCAGCGCGGCGCCGGCCGCTTCCACGGCATAGCCTTTGCCATGGGCGTGCCGCGCCAGCGTGTATCCGACCTCGCGCTCGGGCCAGCCCGGCGGCTTGAACAGCGCGCAATGGCCGATGCAGATATCGCTGTCCTTTTCGGCAATGCAGAAATAGCCCGAATCCAGCAGGACCCAGCTGCCCGCCATCGCGGCAAACGATTTCCACGCCTTGAAGCCGGATTCGGGTCCGCCGGTATAGCGCATCACCTCGGGGTCGGCCTTGTAGGCCGCCACCGCATCGAAATCGCGCAGTTCGAAACCGCGCAGGCGAAGCCGTTCGGTCTCGATGACCGGGATATCGACGGCACCGTAATTCACTTCTTGGGCCCTTTCGGCAGGCCGGGCAGTCCCGGACCGCCAAGTCCGGGCAATTTCGGTCCGCCAAGGCCCGGCAGGCCGCCGCCGGGGACGCCCGGCGCGCCAAGGCCGAGCTGTTCGGCCTGCTGTTGCAGCTTCCTGAGGTCCTTCTCGCTCATCTGCGAGGGGTCGGGCATGCCGCCCATGCCGCCGGGCACGCCGCCCGGCAGGCCCATCTTTCCGGCCATTCCACCCATCAGCTTGCCCATCATGCCGCCGCCCTTCTTGCCCTTCATGGACTTCATCATGTCGGCCATCTGGCGGTGCATTTTCAAAAGCTTGTTGATCTCGGCGGCGTTGGTGCCCGAGCCCGCCGCGATGCGCTTCTTGCGCGAATGCTTGAGCAGGTCCGGCTGGGCACGCTCCTTCGGCGTCATCGACGAGATGATGGCGAGCTGACGGCCGAACATCTTGTCGTCCAGTCCGGCGGCGGCCATCTGGTCCTTCGCCTTGCTCATGCCCGGCATCATGCCCATCAGGCCGCCCATGCCGCCCATCTTCTGCATCTGGCGCAACTGGTCGGCGAGATCGTTGAGGTCGAACTTGCCCGAGGCCATCTTCTTGGCCATGGCCTCGGCTTTTTCCTGGTCGATCGTCTCGGCGGCCTTTTCGACCAGCGAAACGATGTCGCCCATGCCCAGAATACGGTCGGCGATGCGCTTGGGGTGGAATTCCTCCAGCGCATCCATCTTCTCGCCGGTGCCGATCAGCTTGACCGGCTTGCCGGTTGCGGCCCGCATGGAAAGCGCCGCGCCGCCGCGCCCGTCGCCATCCATCCGGGTCAGGATCAAACCGGTAATGCCGACGCGCTCGTCAAAGCTCTTGGCCAGATTGACCGCGTCCTGACCGGTCAGCGAGTCGGCGACCAGCAGGATTTCGTGCGGATCGGCGGCCTTCCGGATGTCGGCCATCTCGACCATCAGCGGCTCGTCGATATGCGTCCGGCCGGCGGTGTCCAGAATGACGACGTCGTGGCCGCCGAGCTTGCCGGCCTGCACGGCACGGCCCGCGATCGCCACCGGGTCCTGTCCCTCTATGACCGGCAGCGTCGCCACCTCCGTCTGCTCGCCCAACTGGCGGAGCTGTTCCTGGGCAGCGGGCCGGCGCGTGTCGAGCGAGGCCATCAGAACCTTTTTCTTGTCGCGCTCGGTCAGCCGCTTGGCGATCTTGGCCGTCGTCGTCGTCTTGCCCGAGCCCTGAAGGCCGACCATCATGATGACGACCGGCGCCGGCGCATTCAGGTCGATCGTCTCGGCGTCCGAGCCCAAAGTCTCGACAAGTTCGTCATGGACGATCTTGACGACCATCTGGCCGGGCTTGACCGATTTCAGGACATCGACGCCGATCGCCTTTTCGCGCACGCGCTCGACAAAGCCGCGCACCACTTCCAGCGACACATCGGCTTCGATCAGCGCGCGCCTCACCTCGCGCAGCGCCGCGGAGACATCCTTCTCCGACAATGCGCCGCGGCCGGTCAGCGACCCGAATATCGACCCCAAACGGTCGGAAAGCGATTCAAACATCTGTTCGTCCCATCCCCGATTTCACCGGCCCCGGCAGTGCCGGACCCATGGCGTCGAGATAAGCATCCGCGCACGCAAACCCAAACGCCAAAGCACAAACGCACCCGAGGGCGCATCGCGCTGTCGGGTGTGGACCTCCGGGG